TATGCGAAATAATACAAAACGCTATAAAGATATACCGTGTGGTGATCTTAAGAATACACATATATTCGTAGACTATGCAGTTGTCTGCTAGAATCCTGTTCCCAATTGAAAATATATATACATCCAGCGTATTGTCATCACCTCAAACCTCCTTTCTAAGGAGAGGCCTATGTCCAGCAGTGGACTAGTATAGGCTCTTGATGTGTGTATTGTCATCACATACATATATACATACATACATCATCCACACTTTTCAATTAAATACCTTTGATTATATGTACGTAAGAATAAGGAGTGTCACCACACTTATACATCCCGTGGGTATCGTAAGAGCCGACTAAGGCAACAGCACTGCAAAGAGAAGGAAAACTTTAAACAAACCCTATACCAACCCGTATGGCCAGCGCGGTATAGTAGACCAAAACCTGCTTTCTAAGGAGAGGCCTATGTCCAGCAATGGTCTACTAAAGTTTGTTGATGATTATGGTGAATGGCTAAAGTGGCGGACTCCCCAAAAACCTGCTTTCTAAGGAGAGGCCTATGTCCAATGGACTACTAAAGTTTGTTGATGATGATGGTGAATGGCTAAAGTGGCGGACTCCCCAAAAACCTGCTTTCTAAGGAGAGGCCTATGTCCAATGGACTAATAAAGTTTGTTGATGATGATGGTGAATGGCTATAGTGGCGGACTCCCCAAAAACCTGCTTTCTAAGGAGAGGCCTATGTTCAATGGACTAATAAAGTTTGTTGATGATGATGGTGAATGGCTATAGTGGCGGATATATGATGATAACTTTATCTGTCATGGTAAAGTATGTACAATGACAGTTTAATTCACCTTAAATAATCAATAAAATAAGACAAAACAATTAAAATTCAACAATCTTAGTGAGTTATACAGGAAATAGGTAAAAGAATAATCTGTGAAATGACGAATTATAGAGTGATTAGAAAGAAAAAACCTTTCACTGCCAAATGAATTTGACAGAAGAGTGGAATGGCAATAAGAAGTTATACGTTTGCCTGTTATACTCCTTTTAAATACATATTGAAATTGTTAAATATATCATATTTATATTGCAGCCTGGTCACTGAGATAATCATTATTTTCTGTGTATATTAACCTCCTAGCCCTGGAAATTCATTGTGCGTATCATCTGTATGCCGATGACCTTCAATTCTGTTCGCAGAGCTAGGTTGAAGATATTTTTATGGCCGTGGACATGGTCAACAGAGACCTGGAAACAATTAATACGTGGTTTAAAAGGTTAGGTTTAACAGTAAACCCCATAAAATATCAAGTTATTGTAGTTGGAAGTTGGAGCAGAGTAGACACTGAGACTTTGCCGGCTATTATTTTTAACGGCACTGCCATTCCTGTTTGTCAATCGGTGAAAGATCTTGGCTTAGTTCGAGCTCTATATCGCCTCAGAAATTTTCTACTCGTACACACGAAAACCATGCTTGAGCAATCCCTTATCTTGCCCTTAATCGACTATGTCTATGGTGATGTGTGCTGTTATGACCTGAATGCAGATCTTCCTTTCGCAGCTCAAATGGCTACCAATTCGTCTACGCCGAAAACTACGCGTTCTTACTGTTTTATACTCTATCTTAAACTGCCTGTTTTCTCTGCATCACCCAAAGGTGGACCGGTGGAGAATGCCTTAGGCATTAAGCCCGCCAATGCACCAAAAGTGCATGATGTATAAATAAATAAATAATTATTTTTTTCATAACTTTTATACCAAAAAAACTTTGGAGTCAATAATGAATTTAATACTTTGACGAACTTTCATTCACGTCGTCCGAACGTCACATTGAAGAATATTCTTAGGCTGTATAAAAATTTACTTAATTTATATTAATTGCACGTCTTACACGAAAAACCGAGTACTCTAACCGATGTTAAATTTAGATCGTTTCACATTTAGTAACCTATCATAAGGCGGCTTATACTACGTTTAAATCGCGACCTTGTCCGCTAGATCTCAGTTTCAAATTCGTTTAACTATATCGGCGAGATTGACTAACAGATTCTCTAGTCCTCTTCCTCCTTCCACACTTTTTCTTAAAAACTGTTTGAAAATTATAAAAATTTCGAAAGAAAAACAACAATACTAACAATACATAAATATATTGAAATCTTATGTAATAAAACGCCTCAAAGAAACAAATTATTGAAAAAAGCTAAGTCGCATAAAATTAATTAATAAAATATCTTTGCAGCTAAAACATTAACTATTTCCTAAAAGCACACCTCATTTATTCATTCCTGAATTCCGAACAATTAATCCAACAGTTACAACACTGTATAAATTCTAGCGCACCACAGTGATTCATGGATTCAACTTGACACATGTAATATATTCAACCTTAAACCCGAATTATTGTGTCATCGCGTGTGCACCCGGCTTTAGCTCACGACAAAACCGCGCGCGACGGTGGCACGCCGACCAGTCACCGTGTATCAGGAAATAAGTAACGACGTACACTGCACAAATACTTCGGATCAAACGAAAATAGTGAAAACAGAGAAACAACATTTTATAAATTAAATTTGGTTTTGGAAATTCAGTATAGGTAAAATTTGTGGAGGTGAAAAATTTGCTTCAGTCTTATATTCGTAGACGTTTGCTACGATATCCGTAGGTGATCTACGGATTTCGTAGACAAAATGACTTGATAAGGAGTTATTGATTTAACGTAAGTATTTAAGTATTTTATATGATATCAATTAATAATATGTACCAAGTTGTGTAAACATTTCAGTTCAAACTTTGTAGTTACTTATAAGCTATGACTACTTCCGCCTATTGATAGCATTTTATATACATTATGTTTGGTATTTAAGTTTTTATACTTATTATAAACTAGGTGATTGGATTCTTTTAATTTCAATCGAGTTAAATTGACTTCCAAATGGAGTGTTCAATCAATTAAATGTTTTATTATTAAATATACTTAAATAAGTGGAAAAGGAAATGCTGTGACTACTTCTTCTCAAAAGCTAATTACCTTAAATGGGCTAATTATTAGCTAATTTTAGAATAGCTCATTAAATTATGTGATCATTTCTTCTCAAATGCTACTTAATTTAAATAAATTTTCTTTATTCACCTAATTTCCCATTTTATATGTACATAAAATACATTAATGATCTACTCCTATCGTATATAAGTTTTAAGGAAAAGTGTACAATTAAAAAAAAAGCTTGTGTACACAAGCTTTTTTTTTAATATAACGCACCGGAAACATTGCTATGAGGCGCGTGGTCATCATACTGGCATACAACATTATTTCCAGCATATTTTTAAGAAATTTTAATTGTTACTCTTGATTAATGTAATTGGGTTTAAGCAAATGAATAAATGAATTAAATAAAACATAATATTAAAAAAATAAATTTAATTAACATTAAAAAAGTATTACTGCATTCAATGTGCCTACATCATGATGAATTGTAATAAGTTGTTCTTCATTCCTTAATTTTCCACTCTTGTCCTGAATTAACAAACATAAACATCCCAATTGAGAACTTTCTTCTTATTTTTAAGTCGGTTAAAAAAGCAAAAAAAAAATTTTTATTTATTATTAAGGTATATTTACAGAATAAACACAAACATTCATAGTAATTATTTTTTTAAAACTGACAAGTGTTTCTCTAATTACCAATATGCACACATGTCAAAATTTGAAAACAGCAAATTAACTTTAGTTACCTATATTCATATTTTGAATCAACAACTTTATTCATCTATTCCATGGCGATTGAATGGAATACTTGAATAGTTACGTCACACGTTGTTAAAACTTGCATAATGTTTTGTATCCATAAATAGGCTCTTATAATTTATTAGTTTCACATTAACTTTTTCAAAAGCGTCCCCATGTTGCAATGTGTACCTCTAGCTATTAATCACTGTCACATTACGTCGTGGGGTCACCAAGTCAATGCATTTTTCCAAGACAATATCATTATCTTATTATTGATGCATTTTCAAAAAAAGACAACTGACAACCTTTATTGTTAACATATGAACCGTACATAATATAAAGACGACGCAAAACATGTCATTTATATATGTATTTATTTTTTTGAGAAAATGTTTATGTTAAAAACCTGATAGTTGTCCTTAAATTTTAGCTCACGAACTAAACTTTAAAAGGCTGTACGAGTAGCTTGACTTGATCTATAAAAACGAATAATGATTTATTCTTTAAGTATTTGTAATGTAATGCCCGTAATATAATAGCCGATAGTGATATTTCTTTTAACGGTCTTCGGAAACACTTAATCACCGCTGTATGACGTCTCATTTTGGCTAACTTCCATGATTGAATATCGTTATTATAATTTATATGTAATTTATTTCGGAATGTCCTAAAAAAACGGTAACGAATGGGTAGCGCGCGGTATGAAAACAATTTGCAAGCAACAGGCCGAATGCATTACGAGCCGACGTAACCTATTTAGTCGAATATTTGTCTTTAGCTGCTTTAATTAATTTAAAAATAATCGTCAAAATTGTGTTTACTAGATTCTATAAAAAAAAATGCGCCTAATAATTTTTTTAATGTATTTCTACCTACCCATTCCAGAATACCAATTATCTACAATTATGTTACCTTTAACAGGTATATATTTTAACCATGGTAAACTACTCTATTCTATTAGAGTATTGTAGTATTTCAATTTCCAATAAGTAAAAGACTTAATTTCAACATTCATAATTATGTCAGTCACCAAAAAGTCACCAAAAAGTTCAACGTAATTCTAGGTTATTTATTTATACTCTCTGTGAACAACATTGGCTGTTTCAGTGAAACGTGCACCACGATACTACGTTTCATTCACAAAACTTTTAAATTAAACTATATTTTTGTTGCAGATTTCGAGTACAGCAACAGATGATACAAATCAATTATGAAGCAAGGGGATGATAACAATAGGAAGGTTCGCGTGACGCGTGCCTCTGGCTGTTAGCTCGAGTGGTAATATGCCCGTCCTATGGCAATCTTCCCAGAGGCCTATGTACGTCCGCACCGTGTGGGTAGGCGACTTTAGACACGCAATACTCACACACGACGACCCATACCTTCTCAAGCTAAAGAGACGACGACCACACTCTTCAGCAAGCTGCAGCATAAATAAGTCTAAGAGCTCGAGGCTTAGCCAACATTCAGACGATTTACACAACTCCTTAAGGAAACTAAACCTTGTTATCAGTAGTGGAAAGACCAGAATCAGTAGCAGGCAGAGACCAGCCACTTCTTGTGAAGAAGTAGAAAATTTAGATTTGGATGATTTAGACCAAGACCAAGACTCGGAAAACGGGTTAATAGTGAAAGCGAACAAGCAACCTATAATAGATACGAATCGCAGTAGCAGCGATAGTGTCGATTCTAATATGAGGCATTTTAGAGCTAATAAAACAGCCAGAGGAGAGGTTCAAGAGAACACGGAACTTTCTGATAGAGTGTTGCAATGGCTAGACTTAGCGGGAAAAATTGATTTATTAGCACCAAATAATGTAGAAAGGATGACGCAGCCACGGCACAGTTGGCCAGAACTGCAGCGTCGTCACAATTTGGTTAAATCAAAAACAACACTCGACATTCGTAAAGAAGGTGGGCGAACAACACCAAAAGGAGTCGATATTTCAAAAGCGCAACAAAGTGCCATTATTGATCGGCACGATTTTTATGTCCCGACGTCCGCAAACACGATCGAGAACTACGCGCGACAGTCACGGAATGCCAAGATCACGCCACGGCACGAGACCAGCGCCAAAATAAAAGACAATCTCAACAAAACAAGAACCAGAGACTTAAGAACGAACGTAGTTGAGACGCGGCAAAAAGTTATCAATGAAAAAAATGCTGTGGAAAAACAGTATACGGAAATGCTTAGCAAAAAGTTGATACCAGATGTAAGCAAAAATCCTAAAAGACAAGTGCACATATTCATGCCGGATTTGCCAAAGAAAGTAGAATCAACTATTACTAGCAGACCAGAAAGCTTACTCTCTCAAACCTCTTATAAAACGTTGAAAAATAAAGTGTGAAGTGTTCTTTTAAGTTTTTTTAATTTAATTTTATTTACAATTATCTAATGAAATACGAATTTTGGCTTGTGTTGAAATCCAACAAATATGAATAAAAGCTTCTTCTTTTATACTTCCACTCGCGACTTTTATCACAGAAGTGATGGACAAAGGTGTACTAAACGCCCATATTTTGCCTTGTGCTTAGTGGTTTAATTTCCAGGCCCATCAACTATTTTTATCAACTAAACTAAGGTCCTAATTAGGAACTGGGTTATTTTATCATTCGATATTTGTGAAGCGACGCATACTTGCCATTTATTGAGCATATATTATTCCGCCAAAATCGTTAAATTCTAAAAGAGATTTTTTTACTTTTTGACTTGACGTCAGCTTGTGAGTGATTACTACTGCCTGTTCAAATTATCACACCTTTTTAACAAATCCACACATGTAAACAAACTGCAAGCAAATTTATTCCATGTGTCTAAAATAATACTAGCAACTTAGCGACTTAATAAAAACTAAACCCACTTCTATACCTTTCTAAGTCATGGATTCTTTAAGTACGTTGACTCTAGAACTGTCGTCGACTGTAAAAGGTAAAAATGAAACTTTATCGTGACACAACAATATTTGTAACCTCGTGGTAATATCTCAATCGGTTCGAAAATCAGTATTCTTACTTATTTATTACGCAAAAATGTATGGTCAATGGCATAGTTATAAGTGCGTTGTAACCTCCGGTAAGCTCACCGACTCAGTGAAAAGCATTGTAAAAACGACCACGGAGCTGCCCAATGGCTCACACGAGTGAGTCAATATCTGCTAGTAAAAAAATATCGTAATACTAAAAAGTTCTACTTTAACTCACCCCAAAGCCGATGGTAGCAACATCTCTGGCCTGGAATCTGGACCGCAAAGGTGGGTCTAGGGGCTGTCCACTGTATCTTGGCACTGGGAGACCAAGGGCGATCACACGAAAGTTCTCATCTACGCGGACAAGACGCCATCGTGATACTTCTTCAGCACCGTGTTCCTATAATATATTATATGGCTATATTTGGCAGTCCGTGTGCTGACGGATTAAGACTACGGAGTGTCACCACCCCTATTCATTCCATGGGTATCGTAAGAGCCGTTTAAGGGAGCAAATTCTGCAGGATAACAGCACTTTAGAGAGAATTAAAACTTGAAACAAACACTATAACCAAACCGTCTGGCCAGCGTGGTATAGTAGGCCAAAACCTCCTGTCTAAAGAGACGCCGATATCCAGCAGTGGACTATTAAAGTTTGTTGATGATGATAGTGAATGGTTATAGTGGCGGCATAAGTAAAGCACAGACTATTGCTTTAAAAATGTCGCTTACAAAATCGTGTTTTAAATAAGTGTTCCTTTAAGTGGTTAATTTAATCTCAAATATATAACGGTTTTGTCCGGAACATGGCCTTGGTCCGCGGCTACGTTCACGTTAATTTATATCTCTCAAAACAGCAAAGGACATAAAGGATAAATATATATCTTTCTCTGTATCACCGACTTATATTCTTGATCCCTTTATGAGCAATTCTTGTAGATGAAATTCTTTCTTTACTTTTATATCCATAATCATATTCTATGGCATAATTTAATAATATAATCCGAAATAATATTCAAGACTTAAGCATTAACAAATTTAAATCCGCAATAAAACGTGGATTGTGTCAGATAGCCTATTACTTAATTGTGGATTACATAGAAGACACTAATGCTTGGCATTAATTAGAGCAGGCTATTTTTTAAGTAAAAATGTGGTGTGGGCGTGTTTTATATTATTATTATTTTTTCAATTTTTTGTTTCACTTCATTTCCTCATTTATTAGTTTTTTCTTCTTAATCTTGTTTCTCTTCATTGTCTTTTTACCTTTTAGTCCTTAATAACGGCCGTACGGGCATATCACATATCAAAACAATGTTTTGGTATATTTAATAATGCCATTGTATCTATCTGTAAATTGTAAAAGAGTGGCAATGAGTTTGTTTGCCCTTTCTCCTCGTAATGCTCAACCCCTTGGTCAACCCCTCAAACAGGCGGTTGTAGATCGGCACAGGCATATCATAGATTTTGTATAAGTTTAATTAGTATTAAATTTATTTGTTTGTTGCTATTGTATGTGTTGATCTATGACTTTAGAGTCTACATTAAAGACGATTTCAAACAATGTTAATTTTTTATGAAATAAAGGGAGTTTGAGTTTGTGTTATTGACGTGGAATCTAAAATTCTTTACTGTAATTATTACATATTTACCTCCATTACGTCAACCAGCGTTAAAAAAGGGTCTACTTAAGTAAATGAGGTTTTAATGAGACCTGGGTGACGTGGCTTCGATCAACTTTTATAGAGTTTACTCAATAAAGAAACCTGTTTAGACAAAACTTAAAACCAAATCCTTATCTAAATACCAAATTTCATCCAATACTTAAAAGTTTTATAAATAATTGTTTCGTAAAAGCTATCAAATATCGACTAATTATTCAAATTTAACTTACCTCTAACAATTTATCATATCTAGACGCTGGAACCAAGAACCTGCCGTCTTCTAAATGCATTTCCCTATTTTCAAGCAGATTATTGAGTACTGGCAACACATTGCGCTCCGCCTTCTCAATGCCTTCTAGAACGAGCACGCGGCCTTCTATCGCTGCGCGGACAGCACTCTGTTTGAAGAAAAAAATTATATGACCACAAACTAATTTAAACATTGTCAGCAGGATTACTAGTCGAACAATAAAGTAAAGCTCAAAATATAACGATTAATTGGTGAAATGAAATGAAATAGTCAGTCACAAATAACTTCCGAAATTACGAAATAATGTGATAAAACCACATGCTTTATTTATTATACTTATATCAAACATCGGTTTTCTTCCAAGGAAAATCTACACATGCTCATGTCTGAGAACGAAGACGTCACAAATTATCCTGACTCTACTTGGATAAACGCACATTTTTAAAGTTTACCCATATCTAAAACACCGCAAAATCCAGAATAGCAAACCCGTTTAGAAACTCGTGATTTATCAGTTTAACAATAGGCCAAGCACGATGATGGATAAACAAGGCAGCAACTCGAGAGGAAATTCAAAGAGGTGCCACTCCTTTAATTTTTAACAGATGTTCCTTCGCTTCTCAAACCCATCGCGCCGTGCCGACAGTACCTAATTACTATTTCTGATTATGTGTTTGAAAATTCTAGATGCATTTTGCTTGATACAGACATTGTAAACGTGCAATATTATTCGGTCACAGAGAAGTAATATAATAATTATTTCCAATTAAAGGATTTGCCACTTAATCATGAGCCCTGGTGAGGTCATAAGACGGGAGTGTTTACCTGATCAAAGTACTTAGCAGTAGATTTCTGGATCTCACGTCTCTGCTTTAGGTCTGCCTCTGTAGTGTCCCTTGACAAAGCCACATATTCTAGTTCTCTCTGCGTCAGCTCTAAGTACTGAAGAGCCACTTTCCTCCTAAAATTTATATTTATTTATATTTTAAGGCATAAGGCGCAAACTTTTTAAAATCACTAAATTAATACATATCGTCGTCGTCATAAGATCTACTTTGTGTAAAAAGTAACTTTTCGAGTAAATCAAAAAAAACTTCGTCCTGAAAAAAAATCTGAGAAAATAATATTAGTTTCATTAGTTATTTACAAAAACGAATTAATTCAAGGGTACTGAAAGAGTAACTCTCTTAATAAGATAATCAAGGATGACGACAAAGCCTATTTTAATTTTTTATTTAAACATAGGAGTTTTCAGTTGCAACTTTTTTTTACATAGGAGTATTTTTCAAGACATTGATGAATAAATTTTTTATTTAAAATTTTTTTTAAATGAAAAATCAATGATTGCTATAATCAACTTTGTCTATTAAGCACATTGTTGTAGTCTGTAGCCATGTTTCGGCACAATTGGCCCGCCTGGACCAGGGTGATACTGAAAACTGATGTTAAGTCATTTTTTGTTGCCTTTTCATTGAGTGAGTGAGGTTACCTGAGCCTCAACCAACCCACTGCCCTCAATATGAGGGACGGGGCGCTGAAAGGGTAGCAACACACTTTTGACTCTTGGGTTACAGGTGTCAATGGGCGGCGGTACTCGCTTATCATCGGGTCACCTGACTGCTTGTTTGTCCCCCATCGAAAAACGGTCAATAGGTATGATTTTAATATAAAATGAAGCGTTGTTGTGTCGCAACTTGTATTATGCAAATCAACCAACCCACCAAACAACTTCCAACTTATCCCCCAGGATTATCTACCCCATTATTATCAAAATGCTCTTGCTCATACCCCCTATGAGCTAGAGCATTTTGTTTTGTTCATTAAGGTCAAAAGGTTCAGGCCTTTTGGCAACAGCCACTTTGAGTTACACCTGCTGGAGCTTACACACCCCAATTCATCCATAAAAGCAATATCCCCCTCCTATAATTAGGTACCTTTCCTTCTTACCCCACTTATCTTTCATTGCACTCTTAATAAATAAAGTATTAATTAGATTGTTTTTAATGTATCTGATAGCTAATGTTACTAATAATGTATCTTGAATAAACACACACTCTACCTTACTTAGCGGTAAAAATAAACTCATATATTTTTCGTAGCAAATTCATTTGTTAATAGCTTTACCTGCTTGGCCCTGGCCTGCCGAGAAGGAACATGTCTTGACCAAGAAGATCTTTTTGCATCATCCATCTCAAGTTCCTTAATGTACTCTGTGATAAAGATCGTATTTCCGCATCTTCTATAGTCACTAAAATTTAAAAAAATCTAATATCATTTGCATGGACTATATTAATGTGGGAAACATTATTATGTGAACATTAATAAAAAATTATTGGAGATTTGCAGTGTAACTGAATAAATATCTGTTTAATGTTTATGTATAATGCAATAAAAATAAGAGTATAGTAATAAAGTAATATTACTACTCCATTCACAATTACACAATATTTATGTTCCCTTAAGAACTGAATGTGTCTTATTAGATTTAGATGAAATGCCAAAATAGACGTAATTTTCTTTTTAGAATAGGTTTATAGTAAACACTGTATTACTATTAGTATAAAATATTAATAAATTATTTTTCAGTTACAACCCTGTGGTATTGCATCAGTTTTAGGTTAAAGGGACCAAGTTTTAACTTAGAACTTACGGTACTTTCTGGGCACATATTCAACCTTTTTAGGGTTTTTAATCTCCTTGCTGACATCCCCAATAGTCACTTTATCTTCACTGGCGAAGCCTCTCACTGGATTTGCGCTTAATATCACTTTACGATTGCCTAAAATACGGATCAAAACATCGATCCTTCGAACTGTTACTGCGGGGTTATACATGATCGTATTCACTTAAAATACTTATCTTAAGATATTTACAGCTGTTTTTCTTAAATTCTAAGTCATTTCACTTTATTATTGCTAAAGAATAATAGAAAAAAGCAATTATCAACAGGTCAAAGTCTAATCATCAACATGCGTCAAAATCACTGTCTTGACAGTTCACAGCTGATCAGCCGTTCGTTCTAAAATGAAACTGATATTTATTGCGTTTGGGAGCATAACTCCAATTCGCAAAATGCCCAACTCTCAATTAATTAGTCCTATTCGCAATTGGTCCAGTTCGCAAATTGGTTTAGTTCGTAATTAGTAAAATTTATAATCAGTCCAATCCTGGAAATTATACTGGTCACTGATTCATTTTTTAATACATTAAATTAGTATTTATTAATTAGTAATGTAGTGTAATTACTAATTGATCATATTTTACTAGCTATGCCCCAGCTCCACAAGCGTTTTAATAGTAGGTAGGTAAATACCAAGTTATGGGAACTTTTGATTTATCTACTACCATTCTATACTATTCTACAACTGGCTTTTTTGCTTTTATTGTCACGGCTCCGCTTCTGTAGATCACAGCGTAATATTTTACTGGCAATTTATCAAAAAATAATTAAATAGAATTGACGATTGCTGCGAATAATGTTACACGCGTGAAAATAACACAAAGTATTAGGGCTCCGACTTTGTAGCATTTATTGAAACCAATATTTTCTTGTCATGGAAATTAATAGGTACCCACGGTTCCGCGGTTGTTACGCGACAAAGACCCATACCGGCACTCTATGGGCACATAATATCTTGGGTCCTTTTTGACATTAAAAGAAAACACATTTTTAGACGAGATATATATTTATTTACTTATAAGTTACACTTTCAGTTTACTAAGTTGTTAAATGAATAATGAAAAAACCTAAAGAATAGTATTAAAAAAATATAACTGTTGTTGTTTATATTCAAAACTGATAAATACGCAATATGTATTCACTATATCACCGTTTTCTGTCTGTCTCGATCATATTCTTGATCAGAAAGCTCGGATTGCACCACAACCCCAACATTCTGATCAAACAATTTTTTCAATCCTAAGTTCCTACCTACAAACAAAGAAACAGGCATTCCATGTGACGTGCGGTATAAAACTTATGTTTAAAGGCCACGGTACTTTATTTGGAAAGTTTTGTACGTAGCTATTTTTTGTGTCCATCACACTACAAAATATTAGAAAACAAGCTAACTATTTAAAAAAATACAAAAAACCGCTCAGCATGAAAATGGATACTTAAAATTTATAAACCAGCTATTTTAGTTTCTTAATTTTCATACACCCAGTGTCACTATTAAGACGAATCTAACGACACCTCCTAAACCAAAATTCATCGAGCAGTTCAGGCTACAGAGCGTGTCAAAGTAACATGCACATACACTTTATTTGGTGTAGTCAGGTAAAAAAAGCCTACTTATGGTAGCAAAATAATCAGATTTTGTAAATTTAAATCCTTAACTTTAACACTGCCACAAAAGATACAGTTGTCGTGAGAGTTTTCTCCTCTTGTTAGTTATATTATGAATTTATATTATAATATAAAAAACATTTAAACTATACTTAAAATTAATAAAATGAATAACATCTTAACCTACAAACTAATATGGAATTTGCTAGTATACTTTACCAGAACACTAACTGTCTTATAAAGAAATTGCGAAGAGCGTTTGTTGATTTCGTCGACCAACTTCTCGCACAACTAATAATATTACAGATAAACCGTTTAATTGAGCTCGTCTGTGGGGTATAGGGGCGCGTAGGTAGGGCGAGAACGTCGCTTGCGCGGGACGGGGGTGCGGAGGTAGGACAAGAACGGGTACGGTGAGAGGTGCGGGCGGCGCTACACTATTATCACCTCTCCTAGTCCCCGTTCCCATTCGACCTCGTACCCAGCAGGCAAGGACTCAATTAACCGGTTTAACCATGCTTCAATAAAACTCTCACTTTCACTCAAATAAAGTCGGCCCATAAATACTAACATGCTTTTTCAATTTAAATTAAAGTTTTATCAAGTCCTCCATTGTTGTACTAATTGTAAACATATAACATTTAATTTTCAACCATATCTTCATCATCCATAGGCTCAATTTTAACACTAACAAAGTCAGTGGGCTCCAAATCATTTTCCCCCTGATCACTATAATCTTTAGTTTCAATTTTAACAATATGTCGCTTAAAATCATGCTCTGCATCACTGTCAGAATTCCTGTTGTCTTTCTCACTGCCTCTTGTATCTTCGGAATCTGATTTATCATCATTTTGCCCATCATCATCTTCGTCATCATCATCATCCATGTCTAGGTTAGATTCTGTTTGTCTCTCTTGTAAATCTTTCTTCTGTTGGTCAAAATTAGCAAGTGTCACGTAGTCTCCAATTAGCAGTTCATTGGCAGGTTTCTTTGGAGGACCAAATATGCTGGTCATGACATCTTCATCGAGGCCGAGGTTGCACTCTCTGGGTTCCAGTCTAGTGTAAAATTCTTTCACATTAGGTTCGTTTCCTTTAAAACCGTGTCGTCTACGGAAGTGCTTCAAAATCGTTCTTTTCACGGAGCACGCCTTTGGACATAATTTGCACTGAAAAAAAAATTTAAAAAATTTAAAGCTTATATTACCTATGTGTAGGGTGTAGCTAAGGTTAAGTAATTCAATTCTGAGACACGGTGCAAAGATTAAAATAATATAAGTGGGACAAAATTGAAATTCAAAGATAGTAACTGATTTTATATTCTACATTTCAGAAAGAATCCTATGGACTATTTTATTGACTTTTATTGACTGGTAAAAAAAATATGTCATAACTTATGTCACTTAATCATAGTTAGATATTGTATATTAATGTATACCTAATTATGATCAAGTGATTATCACTGTTCTTACAAGTGTAATAATTATAAGAAACAATGGACCGATTGAGTTGCATGAGAAACTACACACTAAAATACTTCCTAATTTAACAGTTAATAAAGGAGGATGTTCTCAATTCTTATCTTAGTATATACTTATATACAGAGGTGTCGGTAACAGTAACAGTGAAGCGAGTTCCATGGTTTTTTCCCATAAAATACATGTTTTGTTTGTTCTTCAAAAATGCCCAATGCGCCTAAAGAAGTTTTCACTTCAAAAAGTTTTAGTACATTTTAGATTCATCTAGTAGTAGAGGTCAATCGGAAACAATATTTTAACACTTATCATAATGTATCTAGGTATGTGAGATTGTACATCACTTTTGTGAATTATAATAGAAAAGGGGGTTGTCATCCTTTGAGCTCCTCTAGAGCCAGAGAGGGAAGAGGTTTAGGCTCTAGTAACGTCACTCACTCGGAGAAAGCAACGAAATTCTTTTAGCACAGAATTCCGTCAATTATGTTTTTTTTTTTATTTAGGTCCCTTTATTTCCCTTTTGGTCCCTTCCAAATTCGAAGAAAATAAAAGGGTGTTAAAATATCATCTATAAGGTTGTCAAAATGAAGTATACTACTGATACTTTTAAAAGAAGTTCATACTAATATTATGCGAAAGATGAAATTTGGTATAGAGATAGTTTGAGTCCCGGGAAAGGACATAGGATAGTTTAAGGGGTTGGAAGTTTGTATGCGGCATCAATAACCGCTGAACCGATTCAGATGAAATTTGGTATGGAGATAGTTTGATTCTTGATAAAGGAGATAGACTACTTTTTAACGCGATAACCAACATAAACGTGGGCGGAGCCGCGGGAAACAGCTTGTTATTTATATTTTATAAAAGTTAAAGTCTATATAGGAGAAGAAGGTGTATATATTATGGCGGCGAGCAGAAGGTACTCACCTTGAACGCCTTGAGTGTAGTATGCGTGACGACGTGGTGGCGGAGGCCGGCGGCGCTGGTGAGCATCTTGCCGCACAGCGGGCACGCGTGACGCGCGCGCGTGTGCGACGTGCGCAGGTGCCGCAGCATGTAGCGCTCGTCCGCGTACATGCGCTCTGGGGGCACGTACATGGAGCTTAACGACAGCCTCTAGTTACTGCGGCTGATTCAACTTAAATATGTGTTATAGTATACTGTTCGATTTTCATCGTGAGACACTACCTGTCATCGCCTTACCCGAGCTAACTCATGGTTTGTAAGAATCGAACCAAATAAACCGGCTCGACCGAAATCAAAAGCGGCTCTAATACACAGATTCAAGTATACCCTAAAATGGAGTACTTAATAATTATATGCAGAGGATGTGCAGAAAGTTAAAAAATGTATACAATGTAAGGTTAAAAATTGTGTAAAAACGGAACATAAAACTATGCGTCCAGTATTTATTTTGTCCTGTCATAGTATAAGTCTATAGATACAGTGACATCGAAGATCTCTAGGTAATTGAGTTACACTTACCACACAAGGGACACTTGACAGTGTTCGTCTTAACGGTATGTGTCTTCATATGCTCACGTAATGAACAGGCGCTTGTAAATAACTTCGAACACACTGTGCATGTTTCTAAATCTGAAAAATTATTTTCGTTAACATTGCTCATAATATGGATTACGTGAGCACTCTTGCTTTTGTAAGTGCACGGCAAATGAATGCCAGATTGCATGTTTACTTAATAATAATAATAACTTGACATATAGTTTGCTAAATATTTGACAAAACAGATATTGTTGCTATGGTGTGTGTTGATTTATGACTTCAGAGTCTACACAAGAGACGATTTCAAATTATTATTATTTTTATTTATGAAATAAAGATATTTGAGTTTGACATGGCATTTATTCTGTCACACAAAATTGTCTATCTTAAATTAGGCAGAGCATATAACCGAACTGCTGATTAACAAATATATGTTATATTTTTAAATACATACATATTTCATATAAATGATACCTAGACAAAGAGTAAATATCACACAATTATTTGTCCCCGGTGGAATAGAGTCCCAGACCACTGGCATAAATCTTTTTTTCTCATTAAGACATAGTCACAGAGAACAATATAAAAAAAAATTTAGTTTTTTAAAACTATATATTTTTATTTTTTATTTTTAAATTAGTGTATTGTCATCGGTCCTCGATATATCTACAAAGTTTGAACGAATTCTGACCGTTTAAAGTCAGTCAAAATCACGCCCAAAGGAGTCGGTTACAAACATACAAACAAACATACAAGTGAAGCTAATATAAAGCGTGTAAAAAATAAGTTATGTTTACAATTATGCGATGCAGATAGTTTTAAGTTAGAAAACACTCATTAAATGAATGGTTGTCCAAAAATGTGAGCTCGGTACTGAATGCATGTAATGTCGAAGCATAGGGACCGGTGGTACAAGTTAAGATCGTTTTTACGTTATAACAATATTATTCAAAATGGAGATCGCAAGTTTTTTTTTTTAAATGTTAAGCAAGCTTGCTTCTTTGAGTCCTTAAGTCCTTAAGTCACTGTATTTTTACTATAATTTGTTCTACACGGGGTAATACTATATGGTTTGCACGGCGGGTTGCACATTTTAGTGTATCCCTTTTTCTTGTGAACATAATGTGTGACTGGATAGTTTGATCAATAATTTTGTATATGAGTATTTGTATCCATGTATTGTATGTGTATAGTTGATCCATGTTCATAAGTTTTCTGTTTTTGTATATGATTTTAGATGGAGTAAAATAGTCGTAATGATATAGTATTTTTATGATTTTGTTCTGTTCTGTATTAGTTTTAGCTGCATTGCAATCTCAATCAGATTTTTTTTGTTTTTATTGTGATATCAAAAAAATCATAGTATTTTTTAAATAATGTTTACTTGTTAACACAGTGCAGTTGTGAACCCTTCTGATTAACCTTAATTGGGGTCCACAATGCACCTTGCAATACGCTACCGCTACCAGCTTCCAGCAACTTTCTACTGTACAGCTCGGGTTAAGATAATAAATGACACTTATATAAGTGGCATCGAAGTATTTTGATAAGTCTGTAAGTTTCTTAGTGTGTGAGTATGTTCAAAAAGGGGTATGGCAAAAGTTCACAAAATATAACTTACTCTCGCCCGTGTGCTTCCTTATATGATATTTCAGCTTAGACTTCTGGACAAAAGTCTTCCCACAGTACATACACGCGTACGAAGTATCCCTTGAATGGGTTCTGTAAAGATTAATGCATATTAAAAGTTTCCTACTTTGGAAAGCACATTGCTTACATAAGAACTTACATGCTGCAATACATAAGAACATTTTTATACAATCTCGTTGGAATTCACATTAAGACAACAATCTATTACTGTGCTATTTCAACATCGAATCGAATATAATCTAAATAATTCTAATTGTTGAAAAAGAAGTTTGATAATAGCATAGGCCATAGTGAATTTTAGAACAATGATTTTTGAAATGTTTCATTCTTCCGGTGGTGGCGTTGTATTCGTTTTCGAAATGTCTAATCTGAATGTAATTTCTTGCTGTATTTAGATCCAAATAAATCCAGAGTTTATTTAGAGAATTCTTATTTATTTTGTGTAATCCGAATAGGTTATGGGCCCAGTCCCATCGCGAGTAATAAATAAATAAAGAACAATTACAGTAAAGAATCAGATATTAGACAAAAGGTTTGTCTACGACTCGTAAAAATGGAGGTTGCTGGCAAATCTATGTGCGTTGAAAAGTTCGACGGATCCAACTTCAAACAGTGGTAATTTCAAATTAAGTGTGCCCTGCGAGCAAAGGGATTAAAAATCAACGAACCACGTCCGACTACGAACGCCGCACAATGGGAAAAAGATGACGGGATGGCGATGTTCCTCATCACGTCAGCTATGGACTTAAAACAAATTGCTTTGGTAGAAAACTGTGAAACGGCTCAAGAAATAATGTCAAAACTAGAGTCCGTCTTTGAACAAAAGTCAGAACTGACCAAAATGATGTTACATGAACGCTTCTATCAGTACAAAATGTCAGCGACAGACAGTATTGCTCAACACATTGCAAAAGTAGAAGGATTAGCTAAGCAACTGAAGGAAAGTGGCGAAAAGATTAGTGACACTGCTATTATGACAAAGATTTTAAGTACTCTGCCATCTAAGTATAGATCGCTTCGCCAGGCATGGATGTCACTTGATCCAAGCAAGCAAACAATTGCAAACTTGACTGCACGTTTGTTGGATGAGGAAGCAAGCATGAGTGTAGAAGAAGTAAATGAAACTGCCTTGTTGGTGGCAAAACAGAATACAAAGAAAACTCAGAATACAAAGTCAAAGAAAGAAGTAAACAATGAAGCAAAGGAAAGGCAGCAGCATCGTTTTCCTTGTTACAATTGTGGCAAACGTGGTCATTTTGCCAGAGAATGTCGTGCACCTAAGAAAAGTACAGGTGAAAAGAATATGTTATCTTTTAGTGTAACAAACTCGGAATGGAGTGATGTAGATGAAAGTCACAAATGGATTTTGGATAGCGGTGCTTCAGCACATATGTCTTTTAAAAAGGAATATTTTGTGGAACTACACAAATATGAAGGATCTCCACTGAGGTTAGGAAACCAAGAACCAATTGAAGTCGTCGGTCAAGGAAATATTTTGATAAAGAGATATGTTGGTGGCCAGTGGGAGACCAGTATTTTGAAAGATGTCCTATATGTACCTAAACTACATCGGAACCTGTTCTCAGAGGGAGCTGCTTCGCGTCAGGGATACACAATTGTGAAAGCAAATAGTGACGCTAGAATTTACAAAGAAAATGAATTAGTCATGTGTGCGAATCTTCAAAATAATAACCTATATGAACTAAAAGTCAAAGCTCTTCAAAGTCACATGTGTTATGTAGTGCAAAAATTAGACCTTAAAACAGTACATGAACGTTTAGGACATCTGAATATTGAGGAAATTAAGGATATGTATAAAAACAACGTGATTGCCGGTTTAGAATTGGACCTGTCAGACAATGACAAGTTTGTGTGTGAGGGGTGTGTATACGGCAAACATGCTCGGAAACCTTTCAAACGTTCCAGCCGAGGGCAGTTACAGCCTGGTGATATTATCTATAGCGACGTGTGTGGACCTTTTAATGTGCTTTCTATGCAAGGTATGAAGTACTTTGTTATATTTAAGGATGCAGCCACCAGCTACAGATATGTCTATTTTTTGAAACATAAAAGCGATGTACTAGATTGTTTCAAGAAGTTTAATGCAATAATTAAAAATAGGTTTTTGCATAGTGTGCGTATACTCCATACTGATAATGGAGGTGAGTATAAGAGTAAAGAGTTTAAGGAATATTTAGAAAGGGAAGGCATTTCTCACGAGTTAACTGCTTCATATAACAACAGAGAACAAAACGGCCGTGCTGAGCGAGAATTAAGAACCATTGTTGAAAGTGCTCGTGCCATGCTATATGCTCGTAATGTACCACTTAAGTTATGGGCAGAGGCAGTGAATTGCGCCGTGTATTTGCTCAATCGTACATCTTCGAGTCAAACACCAAACATCTCGCCTTTTGAATTGTGGAATAATGTGAAGCCGAGTCTAAACCATGTTAGAGTGTTTGGTTGTGAAGGTTTTGTTCATAAACCAGAACAATTGAGAACAAAGCTTGATAGTAAAAGTCATAAGATGATGTTAGTTGGATACGACAATAACAACTATAGAATGTTCGATCCTAATAAAAAGACTATTACAGTTTCTAGAAATGTTATTTTTGATGAACAAAGCACTCCTAAAATTGACAGACAAATGGCTCAGATATGGATTGAAGAAGGGGAACAAGTAGAAGAACAAGCAGTGGGAGTATCCACACATAATAATGGCGATGATTCAAACGACCAGAGTGACGATAGTGTTTATGATGAGATAGACCAGGATGAGACGTATGAGCCACCTCAAGAAATTGACCTGAGCGGTATTGGCAGGTCAAACATTACGTTACGACCTAGAAACCGGTTTCATGAGGCAAACGTTATGGAATTCGATATCCCTAATACATTTGAGGAAGCTATTACACGTCCAGATTGTAAGTCCTGGTTGAATGCTATAAATGAAGAAATAGAAGCTCATAATGAAAATAACACTTGGAGTCTAGTTGAGAAGAGAGATCAGAGAACGATAACATCAAAGTGGGTTTTCACTATTAAAAGAAACCAAGAAGGAGAAATAGAGAGGTACAAGGCCCGTCTCGTTGCCCGTGGTTTTTCACAAGTCAAAGGGATAGACTATAGTGAAACTTTTTCTCCTACTACTAGATATGAATCGATTAGAATCTTGTTAAGTATTGCTGCACAATATAAATGGAAAATAAGACAGCTTGATGTTAAGACAGCATTCTTATATGGAGATGTGGAAGAGGACATCTATATGGAGATTCCAGAAGGAGTAAAAGCACCTCTGAATAAAATTTGCAAACTAAATAGATCTCTCTATGGACTGAAACAGGCCTCAAGGTGTTGGAATAAGAAATTTACAGATTTTTTGTTTAAATTTGGTTTTAAGCAATCCCAAGCTGACAGTTGTGTTTTTACATGTACTTTTGATGACACTAAAGCATTCTTAATTTTGTATGTTGATGACACTTTAGTTATGTCAGAATCCAATTCTGTTTTAGATAAAATAATCAATTATTTACAGCAGAGTTTTAAAGTAAAAGAATTGAATTTAAATAGATTTGTGGGATTGGAAATTTTAAAAGGAGAAGATTGTATATGTATAACTCAAAGAAGTTATATAGAACAGTTAATTAATAAATTTAATATGAAAGATGCTAACCCTTGTAATACACCTGTTGATGTAAATGTACCAATAGTTAAAGATATTGATTGTAAAGAGACTAATTTTCCTTACAGGGAAGCAATAGGCTCATTATTGTTTTTGGTAACAGCTAGTAGGCCAGATATGTCATATGGTGTAAATATGTTGAGTAGGTATGTGAACAATCCTAGTTCTCAACATGTAGCTCAAGTTAAGAGGATGTTTAGATATCTCTTGAAAACTAAAAATGTATGTATTAAGTATCAAGGTGAAGAAAATTTGATTGGGTATTCAGACTCAGACTATGCTGGGGATGTTGACACAAGAAAGTCAACTTCAGGTTATGTTTTTATGTTAAATGGTGGTCCCATCTCATGGGCTAGTCAAAAACAATCTTGTGTCGCCCTATCAACAACTGAGGCTGAATTTGTGGCTGCATGTGAGGCAGCTAAAAATTTTTTATGGTTAAGACAGTTTTTCAATGGTATAGGTGTAAATCAGAATTGTACAAATTTGTGTATGGATAATCAGTGCCATAAAATTAATTAACAACCCTGTTTACCATAAAAAGACTAAACATATTGATGTTAAATTTAATTTCATTAGAGAAAAGGTGAGACAAAAATTGTTAACTATTAAGTTCGTACCGAGTTCAGAGCAACTTGCCGATATTTTGACAAAAGCACTGCCTGTGTTGAAGTTTGTTAATATCAGGGATCAAATACTTTCAGTTTTGTAATGTCGCTAAATGAAATAGAAGTAAAAAAATAATAATAGAACAAAATGAAAGTGTTTTGCTGTATAAGCTATATCAAACTTAGTGGGAGTGTTGAAAAAGAAGTTTGATAATAGCATAGGCCATAGTGAATTTTAGAACAATGATTTTTGAAATGTTTCATTCTTCCGGTGGTGGCGTGTATTCGTTTTCGAAATGTCTAATCTGAATGTAATTTCTTGCTGTATTTAGATCCAAATAAATCCAGAGTTTATATAGAGAATTCTTATTTATTTTGTGTAATCCGAATACTAATGATTTTTAGACATATAAATTACACATTTTCTATCAATATTGGTTTTTATTAGAACGAAATGTCTTATCGCACGTGACACACTCTGAGCCTTGTTACAAAAGAAGCCTTAAAAAAAAGTCTTGTTACACATTTTAGGTATCGCTTCCACCCGAAGCGAAACCGAAAATGTGTAACAAGACTTTTTTCCGACACTTCTTCGGCGTGAGGAGTTTACCGACAACCGGTTCCGAACGAAGTTCCGACCCGTTGTCGGTAAACCCCTCACGCCGTTCATCATTTTGATTTTTTAATATCATAGGGGGGCAAACAATCAAGTGAGTCATCTGGCGGTAAGCGACTACCGCCACCCACGGTGATAAATTAATGGAAGATCAATAATTCAAGCGTCACGTGTGTGTTGCCAACTGTTTATTTTCCTCCCATAATTGGGGTGGGGACAATAAACGGGGATGTGACCTCCGGTAACTTCACTAACTCAGTATATTGTTTAGCTCTTTTCTGTGAAGTCATAGTCTTACCTAGGTGAGCCAACCCATTCCTGCCGGAATATGTCTGGGAGAGCCAAGCTGCTTTGATGTAGCAATTAGGTAAAATAATTACCTGGTATGTGAGTTGCAGGCTCCCTTATCAGCAAAGCTGCGCGGACAGTGCGGACACGCGTAGGGCCGCTCGCCCGTGTGACGTCGCTCGTGACGTAACATGTTCGAGCGCTGTACGAACCGCATCGGGCAGTACGAGCAAGCGTGACGGGGCCCTTCGTGGATTTGGACGTGTTCGCGGAACGAGTCGCGTTTCTTTGTAACAGAATATTATCATAATTACTATCCTAATATTAGAAGCTAGCTCTACTTAGATCTCCACCCAAAAGCATACCATACAAATCGTACTATTCATAACACGTTTAAACTACCAACATCATATCTAATATCTTATTTATGAAACATGTCGAAAAAAGGCATCTTCACGACTGACTTAGTCTAACTGACTCCTATTCTATAATTTATTTATAATTGAAATATGTCTATATCTATGTGCTATATCTTACAGATTTTGAAAATTGAAGCTACAATAAGGTCATTCTTTAAAACAAATCTCACAAAACATCTCAGTAAATATGATTATTCTAGCTTATAATAGCTATTACGAATTTAAATCAAATAAACATTGAAATATATTCTTCAATTAAATTGTCTAAAATAGTGACGTCATAGATTGCTATTTAGTACATTTTTCATACAAAACTGTTGGTTTGACAGATGATAAAAAGTAACTAATTTGACTAAGATGTCAACTACCCTATTCTAATAGGAACCAGTCACGAAACTTATCATTCTAATAGAACCAAATTTCCTGTCCGAGACTCACCAAGAAAGTCTTCCCACAGTAAGTACAAGTATAATTCTGTTTATTAGGCATATGTTCTTGTTTGTGCATGTATAATGAAGACTTATACTGGAAGGACTTGCCGCACTCTGTACACTCGAATGGGTGCTGTCCAGGGTGACATATGAGGTAATGGAGTTTTCTGTAAAAGACACAAGTTTTTTTTAAATGCCTGCTATTTGATAGTATAGGGTGGCAAGTGAGCAGACAGGGCCTCTATTCTGCTATTTTATGTTAACATACAAGCCACTGTCATTCCATTAACACGCTATTGAGATGCCATTGATATCGGTCAAAATATCCGTATTCTACTAACATAAATTCACAGTCAATAGACTGTCGATATAGTGGCAATGGCTCATCAATGGTAATATTAACAACTTTGCTTTGACAAATTCAATATATAATTTCCTTACAAATTTAAAATGTGCCGTTTACCAAACTATTACAAAGACTTCGACGACATTTGTATCAGTGGCGGTTCAGTGACAAGTCATCGGGAGAGCATTGGTCATTGAATCAAAACTATTCCGACGACAGTCCATCGACAGCCTATTGAAAGAATATTAAAATAGCAGAATTGAGGCCCAGGTCACCAGATGATAAGTGACTACCTCCGCCTATCTATGGATACCTACATCTGAGGCAAAAGTGCCCTTTGTACCCCTTCTCCCAGAATCAGGGACCCCATCAATCAACCCCCCTTGGGTTGGGACTACGGTAACCTCGCTCACTTGGCGAAAAAGTAAGGTTCATAGTCAAAAAGGAACTTTTATTGTAGTGCAATAACCGTCACTCGGTCCACGACATAACTCAGTGACTTTTAATATTAAAAAGCTCTAATTTATCTATCTAATTTATTTTAATTTATAGCTCTATCTAATTTTTCCATGGCTTTGGCCAACCCATGCCGGGTTGGCGAGTCATAGAAAAATTGTCTTAAAAAGCAATCGACGATACGGCGACACTAAAATGGTTATGCTGCAGAATCAGAATCATCATCATTAGCAAGGTCATAACCGAATCTGAAAGAATTACTTAATGCAGAAGCAATATTTTCTTTATTTTTATGTACTTAGTAGACACAGTGGCACAAAGTGACGTTGTACTATAAAAAACAGTTTCTTAAAATTGTCTTTATGCTTCCTCCTCAATTTGCCTATAATAAAATTTTGTTCACAGCAGCTTTTCGAAAGAAAATCTTGTTATTAGTTTTATATTTAAGGCCAAGCAGTACAGAACTTCAAATTGCTAATAGAACTCAAGGAAAAAATGTATTTATGTCTCACCTCTCATCCATAGTGTGTAGGACTTCTTCACACAACTTACACTTGAACTTGCCAGGTCCATGGGCCTGGGCCATGTGTGCACTTGCAGCTCGCGAGCTGGTAAACTCCCGGCCACACACTGTACATTCTAAGTTGCGTTCAACACGGTGGCGAGGGTTGTGGATAGACTATAACAGATTACAATAAGTGTGTGTAAGTGGTTCAATTCCAACATTCAACAACTTCATGTGTCATTAACCGATATTTTTCTGAGTTTGGGTCGTGATACAATAATTTTATGAATTACAGTGTGATAAGACCTTAAAAAATATGTTACATGTTTAGGAAGTCGCAACCAACCACCATCCTTATCCCAGTTCATGATACCTTTACTGTTAAACATGAGTATCTTATACAGACTACTTACTGACTAAAAGACTAAAGAATTGACTGATTCCAACTCACCCGTACATGAAGTTTGAAGCTCTTCCTGTGACTCAATGGTCTAAATTTGCAAGAATCTAAAGAGCAATACAATTTTTTTGCTTCTGGATGTTCAGATTTAAAGTGAGCCCTCATATTGTCCACATTTGACAGTACCAAACTACATATACAACACTTCATGAGGTAGAAAGGGACTTTATCTGCAGTAGCGTGACTTGATAAGTAGTGGTAGTTGAACCAAATCTGTGGATGTATGAGAATTCTTATCATCATTTTCTATTATAATAGGTAATATTATGTTATTAATTTTAATATTTTTATTGTTAGAAAGAATTAAATTACAGCTGAGACAATGCACTAAACATAAAGTGGAGTGCTGCATCATATTACCACTCCCTTATCTACCTCTTTTAAATTTTTTCTTTGACATTGCGTAAAATATCTTAATAATATTAGTATGTATTATATGAAATGGGAACATTGAATTCTACCCTTTTCAATTTGTTTTTTTTTTTTTTTACTATTTGATAGGCAGGTGACATATTTCCTAATATATGTTTGTTATTACTATAACTATGGTGTCATGAGTTTCTATTGACAGTTTTTTCTGTCTTTATTTTTTTTAACTATGTACTTCATTCCTAAATTATAATTAGGCTCTGAGATATGTTCTCCAATGAGAAGGACTTAGAATATAATATGTATTGCATTTATAAAAGTTTGATCAATTACATAAATTACTAGCTCAAAAAATAATTTATTAGTAATAAGTTACCATTACTGTATTAAACTATTACCTTATCGCTGGACACCTCATTGCATACTTCACACTTATAGTAACTTTCTCTGTGCCTAGAAAGATGCACTCGAACTTGATGAGTTTCTCTGTCCTTTTCATGCCAAAACAAAGTAGGGCAATACATACACTTGAAGCCCAAATGTGGACTAAAACAATTGTCATATTCTAACAAATCCCAGTGCTCTGATAAATGTTTTCTAGTTTCTTGGCGGTCATCAAACTCCTTATCACAAAACTGACAAAGCCAAAGGTTCTTAAAATCACGCAACTCCCGGGCAATATGATTGTCAAGCTCATTCTGGCTATCGAATATTGCCGCACATAGCCTACATGAATAAACTGACTTATATTTCACAGAATGCATTTTGGTCATGTGCGAAACAAATGCTTGCACATTGTTGTACTCCATATTACATAGAGAACAAACTATATCCATATTTAGGTCAGCTGTTGATTTCTCATAATCAATATCAGAAAGTGCATGAACTACATTTGCTTTGATATCTGACAACTCTTGAGAGATATAATCAAAGAAACATTTTTCAAATACAATTAATTCAGTTAGTGTCACATCATAGTCTTCATCACCCTCATAAGTTTTCACAAACTCTAAAAGCTGCGACTCTTTGTCTGTTTTACCCTTTGCTTCATCTCCACTAACATTTTCTTGCTTGACCTCTGGCAACAGTTCTTTGAGCAACGCTTTAGAATCGTTAGCGTTTGAATCAGATCCTAGGCAATTGCCAACTTTAAGCTCTAAATCAACATAACCATATCGAGGATGACGTTTCAATTGTTCTTCAATGAATTCACTTCTAACATCTGCTCCGTGCACCGCAAATGGTACATCTTTACCAGCCAAAATTGATGTGAAGCACTTTAGGGTGAAATGATGGTATCCCATATAGTGATTGAAAAACATTCTTACAGCATTATCAGTCTTTGAACATAGTACACATGAGAAGGTAGAGGATCCATCATCATCAAAATTCCACAAAATTTCATCATCCTTATTTGCTACATTTGATACATTATGTTTTTGAAATAAATGTGAGTTGTATAACTCACCATCAGAAACTCTAAAATGGCAGAGTCTGCAGTGCACAAGCTTGTGAACTGTTTTAAGATGTAAACGTAAAATAGGCTCAGTGGGGAAGTTTTCAATGCACTGTGAACATGGCCATGGTGTATGGAACTTCATATGACTCCACCAACTTTCCCTATCTTGCACAAAGTACCTTAAAAACATAAAAACACAGGTAAGTACTTACCAATACATAAACAAAAGCAACAGTTCAAAATAGGTACTACTTACCTACAAATACCACAGAAATCTTTTTTATGATTCAGACAATAGTGTAGAATTATTTTGGACCTATTTATAAACCATTCTGGACATAATAAGCAACTGTAAGGTCCTGCAGGGTTAAAATCCTTTAAATAAAGCCAAACATCCGCAGGCCTTTCTATTACTGGAGGTAAATCAGGCTTCTGGATATTTATAGTAATAGGTAAACGCTTCGGAGGGGCTGGTTTCTTTTTCTTCTTTTTTATAACTTTTGCATTGGGCAATATTTCAATTTTTTCAATGAAGGCTTCGGGGTGTAGCTTCTTGTTAGCCGCAATAACTGATAGCGGTTCATCATCGGACTCATCGGAAGTCATATTGTAGGTACTTACTAAAACACTAAGTTCATTTAACGCATTTCATCAAAATATTATATTAATCAATTACCCTTAAAACTTTTTAAAGTAATATATGCCACTGTGTTAAATACGTTATTTTTTACTATTCCAAGAACGGTGTATTTAAAAGTCAGAACTGTAACCAGACTAGGTAAATAGTAAAAAATATAAAGATGTTTGTTTTCCGACCCTCCTTCGTGCAATTCACATTTCATTTCACACAATTTCACAGTCGTCAGCAACACAGACAACATCGATTACAATGAAAGTTTGCATCAATATTAAGCCTTACTCTTTCTATCTGGGCGCCAAAATTCAAGCTTAACATTTATATCCTTTTTCGTAGTGTCAAAATACATATAAATTCTTTTTTTTTTCCCGTCGGTGGAACGCAACAAAATTGTATTGATTGAGAATTTGACGTTTTAGAGATGTACGGCAAGCGTTTCTAGCGAAATGCTTTTGATGGAAATATAATATTAAATAAGGTGTTAGGAATTTCTTTTAATGTGGAATAACATAAATGGAATAACACTTTGATAATTCTGAAGTTTAAAAAATTTCCGTTCGGTAAAATCTAATACCTTTAAACGAGCAATTCTTGTATATATAAACAGAATCTCGGCAACGGCTCCAACGATTTTCATGAAATTTAGTATTCAGGGGGTTTCGGGGGAGAATAATAGATCTAGCTAGGTTTCAGATTTAGAAAATGTACCAAAAAAAAAACGAACTCGGTCATCCAGGTACTGTTTTTTATGCCTTTCAGACGTTTACATAATTTGTATATATTTTTAGGTTTAGTGTATTTATATATTTTATTTTTGTGTTAGATTATAGATTACGTCAATAACTAATCAGAATTTTGTGCATGGACAGCTATAACAAATAATATATTTGTTTCTATTCCATAAATAACACTACACAGTGAATCTCTGCTTTTTTTCCTTTTCTTTTAAAGAAGACAACTTATTTACAGAAAGTTTCAATTAATAAAATGTAGTAATAATAAGTTTTTCTGACTTTCAAAAAAAATATTGATTTACAAAAAACATTATGGACAAAACCTTAATCTACTCAAACTTGTGGTTTGTTCAATATCTTCTTACCGGTCTTTGATTTTATCTCTGAGATCTATGAACCTATAGTTTTAAAAATTGTTATTTATCAAAGTGAAAATGGATAAAAAGGAAAGAAAATATGTTTTGTAAATCACTTTCTTAATTGTTCTTCCATAGTAATTTTAATAAATATCGATCATGTCTGTCAAATATGACATCCCTACTTTCTATTTAACATAGACAACTCACAATTTCAATGTCACGTTCCTTTACAGTACATTGAAAATATTCATTACCTACTTTTTACAGGTGGACAACAGGAATAAGGACAGTTCATATTATTGTTATTAAATAGTTTTAAATAAATAAAGCACTTTAAACTAATGACAAAAAGAGAAAATCACCTATAATGGTGAAAAAGATTTTTCAAAATAAAGAATAGTCCTGCATGAATCGAGGCGCAAAAGGAAAATAAAAATATCTCCTACCGTGTCAGCCATTTTATAGAATTCTAATTTGTCTATGGTAAGCCAAAGAAAGGCGAAGCTAAACAAAAGGGTATCATGTAGTTAGCATTTACTAAAATAATAGTAATATTCGCGTAAATATTGACTTGAAAGACTTATTTACATCATATAATTAAGTGACAAAACAGCCTGTAATGTTTGTGAATCATTAAAGTTCATAAAATGAAGCACAATGCATCGTGTAATGGTGGCCATTAGAAGTAATAATTATGTGTATTGGCATACTTTCAGCTTTACGGGCCACCAAATAAACATTTGAAAATTAGTGCGAAGTGACAAATCTAAAGCTATAATAAATCAACATGTAAACCAAGTGTAATACGTGATATGTGAATAAGGAAAAGTGCCCAGCGTAAATAGTTCATTTGGCACGAACCATGGCCCAGAATCAGGGGGAGGTTCAAGTGGGCACACCGAACCAACCCGTGAAGGAGAAGGATATTTATGCCTGTTTGCCTGATATGAGGCTGAACGGACCTCTCGGACCCGACGAACCGTGTCCGGGAGGAGAGGAATTGCGGTGGTTGCCTGCACAGGCTACTGACCGAGATCTGGTTATGTATTTGCGAGCTGCTCGCTCAATGGCAGCATTTGCTGGTATGTGTGACGGAGGGTCGCCAGACGATGGTTGTGTTGCCGCCAGTCGCGATGATACTACCATCAACGCACTAGATGTCCTTCATGACTCTGGTTATGATCCTGGACGTGCTTTACAAGCTCTTGTAAAATGTCCAGTGCCAAAAGGGATTGAAAAAAAGTGGACCGAAGAGGAAATCAAGCGGTTTGTTAAAGGAATACGACAATTTGGTAAGAACTTCTTTAAAATAAGAAAAGATTTGCTGCCTCATAAAGATACTGCAGAGCTGGTTGAATTCTATTATCTATGGAAAAAGACGCCTGGTGCTAGTAGCAATAGACCACATAGAAGAAGAAGGCAAGCATCACTAAGAAGAGTCCGAAACACTCGGAACTCTCGCGCAGGTACACCTAAAGAGCAAACACCAGAAGCTACACCTACTATACCAGATACAAATGGATCTAGACCATCACCAAATCCTAAAGAAGGAGGTGAAATGAGTTCAGTAACTGAAGATGAGAATTCTGAGGAAGATAGTGATTCAAGAGATGCTGGTGATTTGGCTAAGGTAGATAATGGTAGAACTGAAAATCCAGAGGACTCTCCCAGCAGGATGAGAACTAGAAATAAGTCTAAAGAACAAAATACTCCAAATGGAAAGAAGGCTCAAGATGAAAGTGACAATGATTTAAAAACTAAAACAAAACCTATTAAACCAAATGTACAAACTACGAATAATAATGTATCTGAGAAAATATTGGCTTCTCCGGGTTCTAAAGATGTAAAGAAAAAGGTGATAAATGGTAAAGTGGACGTATCTAAAGTTAAGAAACGGCTTCCTGATGACACTAAACCAGGTGGTATAATGGATGGTGATGTTCAAATGAAAAAGAAAAAGGCTGCAGAACCACCTGAGAGTCCATCTGAAAGTCTCACTAATGATAGTTTCCCAGCAATGGATGAAACAGAAGCTCCTGAGCCAGAACCAGAGGTTTGTGACTTCAGTTTTAATAAAACTGAGAAAGAGTCGACAGAACAAACTAAAGAATCTGAGCCTGAACAAGCTGTCAAACCTGTTGAGTCTCAAACCAAAAATGAAATTATTGCTGAAACTGTTATCAATACTGATAAAGATTCTGTTCCTCAACCTTTCAAGGTGGCAGAAACAGAAGAGAGAACCACCCTTGATCTGAAAACTGATTCTAATCCACAACCAAATAAGATACCTGAAAACATGGAACCGAGAAGTCTGCCTATACCAAACTCAATATTCCCTAAAACTGAGCTTATTATACCGAAAGTTACTCCTATGACTAGTGAAAGTTTAGAGAAGGTAAAGATTAAAGAAGAGATTGATACAGATGAACAGACACTAAATCTACAAAAAGAGGAATTTCCAAAAGATCCATTGTCACATAGTTTCCCAGGCCATCCTGTTAATCAACCTAGTAAACCACTCAACTTGGAAAATACCAACTTTTTAGTAAGAGACAGTCACATTTACAACCCAAAGTTAACTCACAACATTAAAATAGAAAACATGTCTAATAATATATTTAATCCTGTAAATATTGGAAAAGATAGTTCTATTATTAGGAGTGCAAAAGACTTTCAAGCTGGCATACCACCATTTGGATATTCTCCAAACATGAATTTTGGTAATGAGGCATCGAAGCATAATCCACATATGAATCCGCTCAAAACAATGATCAAGTTGGAACCTCGAGATGAAACCAATGAGATGAAGAATCAAAATACCCCTGAGATTTTTACTGCGACTATATCTACAGCCAATAAAGTTGATTCTCCTAATGCTCCCAGACTGGACACATTACAAAGAATAAGTCCATCACCCACTAATACCCGTGCTTCATCACCACCTCCTATGGAACATCCAACCACCACTAATACGGAACCAATTTCTCCTGCACATTCACAAGAAAATAAAGAATCAGATGATGATAAACAACCTACAGATTTGAAAACTCAGTCAGCACCTAAATTGGACAGCCAAAGTGGTGCCATAAGATCACCAGCATTTCCCCATTCAGTACGACCTGAAAATCTTGGAGTCCGATCTACAGAGGCTTCTGTTACTCCAGTATCAGGTGCCACCATGCCACCACCATCACTCAGTCAGCCCTCTTTAACTGGACTACTGCCTCAAGGACCTTTAATATCTGTGGGGAATGGTACCAATGTTGGCCCATATGGATTTATGCCAACGCCTTTGTATGGTCATTCAAGTCATCCTGGACACCCTGGCCATCCTGGCCATCCTGGACACCCTGGACACCCTGGGCATCCAGGTCATCCTGGTCATCCTGGTCACCCTAGTCATCCTGGTCATCCTGGTCATCCTGGCCACTCTGGCCATCCAAGCCATCCAGGTCACCCAGGACTGGAGAAGCCTGGATCTATGCCACCTCTTATGCAACCAGTAGCACCATCTCATGGTTTACCAGGGAGTAATTTAATACCTCCTTCAAACCAAAATGATCCATCAATGCCACAAGATTTGAAAATTAAACAGGAAGCGCCTGATAATATGCCTGCAAACTTATCAACACAATCACCTTCTGATCCTCTACAATCACTTAAAGAAGTAAAAGTTCCGGGATATCCTGTTGGTAGTGCTATAGCACAACATTTAAACACTGAGCGAGATAGAGAATCAATATCTAGTGTTGAGAATAGTAGTAGGCCTCCCAGTCAACCTACAAATGAGAATACAAATATGCCAAGTGCATTCCTTGGTCCAAGGATAGATAGTATAAAGAAGGAACCTGACTTCTTACATCAACCTCATATACCTACTACTCAAACAAGTCAAAGTAGTTCGGAATCTTCAAATCCAATTCCTCCAGTAAAAAGTCCTCATACCCCTACACCAATCAAAAGTCAACCAAGTCATGGACACGGACTTTCATCTTCAACAACATCGCCTTTCTCGAGGCACTTAGCAAGTCCACATGCAAGACAAATATCAGCATCACCAGTTCAACCAAATACCCCTGTGTCACATTCTGCACTAAACTTAATGAATCCAACGCCCCTGTCAATACCAGCAACAATACCAGGTCCAGTGATGCACTCTGGACAACAACCTGGACACCCACCACCTCATCCTTTTGCCTCTCCTCTTCACCACCCCCACTTACTCCATCCTTCTATCTTCCAGTTATCTGCAGCTGCAGCACATGCAATGCATCCATATTATCCACATCCCCATCCTGGATATTCAATGCCATACCCATATCCCTATGGACCACTCCCTCAACCTCATCCAATACCTCCTATGCACCCTGCCGTGAGCACGCCTGGACGGCACGAGCCTGTGAAACCGCCAACGATTGAATCTACAACCATGCTCAGCTCACACCATAGTCACAGTACCAGTTCCTCAGTTACTACTAGATCACTGAGAGAAATTTCAGAAAGCTCTGAGGATCCGAGACATCCTAATGCGACCACTGAAAGACATCAACTTCACGAGACGACAATGACGCATCATCATTCAACAAGTCATCACAGTGCAGTTCATACAAGCACGGAAAAGCAGCCCAGTCATGTGGGTGGTGGTACTAACCACACATTATCAATTTCTCATTCAACTTCAAGTAGTTCATCGCAATCGATTCAACATAAAATCAACACACAACAGAAAAGTAGTTCTCATTCAAATTCACCTCATCACTTATCAGCTAGCGTATCTCAAACTACGAGTACGTCGTCTAGTGTGAATGTTAATAATCACAACCATACCCATCATCATTCGCATCACCTGGCTCATCATCCAGAGAGGCTTTCGCCAGCTGATTCTATGCTACTACGTCACCATCCAAAAATGCTAGCTGCTAATCCAAATCATCTGATGATACAGCCTCCATCTATGGGCCATCCTATGGGTATCGGATTGCCACCTGGGCCAGGACCGAGTTCCATTGAAAGTTTACGTCTTCACGCTCAGGCAGCGGCAGGTATGCAAGCATCACATCCTAGGCCTGGATCTCCGCATCAACTTCCTCACGGTCATCCACACTTACGAGGTCCACCGCGGCCTATTCCAGAGGAGAACCCAGAGTTAAAACTTGAAACTCAATCACAACCAGAGGAAGAAGAAATACCCAGTCCTGCCCATATTCCACATGGACCCAGTCCCGAACCAAAAATTGAAGATACAGAATGCCATAGGTCTCAATCAGCGATATTCTTAAGGCATTGGAATCGTGGTGATTACAACTCGTGTACGAGGACCGATCTTATATTTAAACCTGTACCAGAATCCAAACTCGCTCGTAAACGCGAGGAGCGGTTGCGGAAGCAAGCCGAAAGAGACCGAGAAGAAAGGGAAAAGATAGCTCAACAAGCGCATAGAAAGATAGCTACACCAGAGAAACCTGAGACGAAGCCACCTTCGAGAGGAGCCATCGAAACGATATCTTCTCCGTATGACAGGTTTCCTAGACCACCAGGATACCCTGATACCCCAGCACTTCGAACGTTATCGGAGTATGCACGACCACATGCAGGGTTCAGTCCAGGCAACCTACCGCGGCATTGTATGGACCCCATGCTTCAATATCAACTGAGCTCGATGTATGGTGCAGCTGGAGCTCGTGAAAGACTCGAGCTAGAACACCTGGAACGAGAAAAACGGGACAGGGAAATTCGAGAGCTACGTGAACGCGAACTAAACGACAGGTTGAAGGAGGAACTGCTCAAAAACAATGTTGGTCCTCGGGCAATCGATCCACATTGGCTCGAAATGCATCGTCGATTTGGAATGGCACCTCCACACCCTCAAGGCGCCCTCCCTGTCCAGTTTGGCCTGTATCCTCCCGGACACGGACCTGCCTCACTATCACAGTTAGAACGTGAGCGCCTCGAGCGGCTGGGTATCCCGCCAGCAGGAGGAGGTGGCCCACCCTCGGTGCCGGTCTCGGGGGCGTCCTCACATCATCCGCATCATCCGCACCCTAGCGTTGCAGCAGCCCAACTGGAGGCGGCCGAGCGACTAGCACTCGCAGCTGATCCAATGGTGCGTTTACAAATGGCCGGTATCAACCCTGAATATCATGCGCACACACATGCGCACACGCATGCACACTCCCACACACATCTACACCTACATCCTGGCCAGCAAGCAGCGGCGCAGGCGCAGCAGGAAGCCCTGGGGCTGGGACTGGGCCCTGGTGGGCCTTACAGGCCGCTACCACACCCAGATTTGTTAGGGCGACCATACGCAGAGCAGTTAGCACAGCATGCGGCCGCGCAAGAGCAGTTGCAGCGGCAGCTGCTATTGGAACGTGAACGCGGGTTCCTTCATCCAGCGCACCACGAGGAGTTTATGCGCCAACAGCGCGAACGTGAGCTAAAAGTGCGCGCGCTGGAGGAGGCGGCGCGCGCCTCCCGCCCCTAGTTTGACGCAAGTGCCTACTTCTAGTGCACGGACGATCGTAATGTGTTCACGCGCAATTCGGCCGACGCCTCGTCCGGCCAACATGATTTTGTGTGACTATACCTGTAATTTATATTTATGATAGGTAGCTTAAGTATTTAAGTTTTTATAACACTTTTGATAGTTGCATGGTCGTGTAGTACGCTTATTTTCCATGCTCAAATTTATTTCTTACCTACTAGTCATAATTAAAATTTTATTTGTGAATGAGATGAAGAGTCACACGTTTTTATGTAGGCTTATTTAGGTTAAATTATTGTTAATTTAAAATAGTACAGAGGCATCGGTGGCTACTGGTATCTCAGAATGTATAAAGCAATAGTAATTGAAAACAAAGCTACTTACGTTAGTTTTATACTGATGGTTCTCTATTTTAAATTGCGAGGACTGAATAGATTGCGACAAGTCTGTAATTCATTTGGAAATGGCATTTTCTTCTATACCAGTGGCATCCGAACGAGGTATAATGCAAATTGATAAAGGTGCTGGTTAGCATTCATGTGAACGGACGACATGATGACAGTAATTACGTTCAATGTAGATTGTTTTTTATGTTCATGACATAATAATAAATAATATACATACTTGTAGAACTATAAATGTTTTACGATACGAAGTAGGGACTGTGGATTTGCCTTCTAAAGAACTTGCCTTTTACCTACTGTCTCCTAGTGACTATCTCGCGCTATTGAAACTCTAAAAGCTTCTATTTCTCTTAAATTCTTTACATTTTATTATAGAAGTTTAATGTTGTGATATGTTATAAAGATATCAATGTAAACAAGTGTATATTGAGTGATAAACTGGAATATTTTTTTCTGGCACGAGAGGCAATCGTTTTTGGAACTAATTACGCTCACATATCAATTATAAGATTGAGGTATCGCCGTGAGAAAATTGTTACTGATTGATATGTTGCTTTCAAAAGTTGATAGTGGCCCAATGCAATAATTTAGTAATGAAAGGCGTACGATCACAGCCTTGGATGTAAAAGATCGTTTTGTACAGATTGTGATGGAATATTTTTATTGAATGCAATTTTGTTCTTTGATGATCTCTGTTGTATAGGATTCGTTCTCAGTTATGACTGCTAATAATAAGGTTGGTGGATAAAACGCTCGCGCTGTGTGTAATGAACGAATATAACCAACGTTGTTCTCGAATTATGTTATCGATAAAGCTATGTTTATTGCATTTATTTGTGTCAGTACCTTAACCTGACATTAATATTATTTCCGATTTCCTGTATAAATAGCCAAAGTAACTTCAATTGATAGCTGTGCGGAAAATAAGGAGTGATATTTTCTTTTTTAAATTGTGACGCATATTTGAAGAGTATAATTTAAGAACGCGCAAGATTAAATCAAATGAAATAAGAGTTCACAATAGTTAGCAGTCGTAACTAAAAATGAACAAACAAAATTTTTGACACGTGAGGCACTGGGCATTACTCGTATATTGTAACTAATTAGTTATTTATATCGGCAATAGCAACGTTGTCTTACATTTTGTAATTCTCTCGGCCGCGTGTTTACCTTTGGTAAACTAAGATGACCGGCCAGTAACTGAGGTCAAACTCGCCCCTACAACTTTGAATTGTGGACTGAAACTCGCCAATATACCCTTTATTTCAGAAACACGAAGTTTCCGAGATAAATTCAATTTTGAGCGTAGATTAATAATACTGTTAATATTGTTTAAAAATAACTTTAATAGACTAACAAGAAATTAAGTACTTATACGAATTGAAATTACTTTAATGTTGACTCTATCCTGTGTAATAATATTACTAATGAGTGGTTAAATATTCTTGTAAATTATAAGAGTTAAAATTAACGCCCAATGTACACATTCGGTAACTTTATTGCACTACATATACTGTAATATAAAATCCCTTGTAACAAATAGATTAGGTGATTCTAAAGTTTATTATTTAGACTAACTTTCACAAGTCGCTTAGTAGGTGTTATGTTGGTAATGCCATAGTTACTTTCAGATATATAAAAAAGAGAAAATGAGTATTATTTTTAGAGACAAATTATATCTTAATTAAGAGGTTGAGTGTCGATTTAAAACGTCATTTATTTAGACAATAAGGTTAAATGGATGTCTTAGTGCTTTTGTGTAAATTTTTTTCAATAATATATGTGAAAAAATTCTAATTTCGTATTATTTACCTATCTAGCTTTGTAATTATTTTAATTACAAATTCAAAGATACCATAAATTACATTAATATTTTACAGATTTTAACCATAAATTAACTTTTTACAGATTTGATACCATAAATTACAGATTTTATTTAAAAGAATAATTGTAAATATATGAATGTCCACTACAATATGCAAGTGTTGAAAAGATTGATAATTATTCCATAGGCCGTATGGTACTTTGTCGAGTTAGTTGATGTTAAGATTATTATACATATAAATCCCGGAAGATCACTTGCAAACCGGCCGATTTCAAATCCTCAAATAATTTTACTCATAAAGGCTTGAAAAACACCAAAAACCTTATATTATCAGTTTTATATTTACTAGTAGGTATATAATTACCTGCATAGTTTTACGAATCAGGCTTTTGTCTGTCTATACTAAAACAATACTGTTGAAAGTGTTAAACTACCTTGAGAAAATTCCAATATACCTGATACACTTGTAAGATTGGGCTTAATAACCTAAAAAGGCTAATCTTACATGTTGGCTAAGCAACCCCGGATCTAGGGGGGAGCAAACCGGGGCACCCGCCCCGGGCGGTGGTTTCAGGGGGCCCAAAAATCATAATATAATACTATTAGTTACCTCTCAATCACGAAAAATGCCAACCATCATAATATATTTGTGGTTTTTTTAAAGTTAATTACCTCAAACACTGGAGACTGGGGGCGCTATTATTAAGTTTCTGCCCCGGTTCGAAAAACTTGTAGATCCATTATTATATTGTGGCTGTGATGTGGCTAAGACCCATTATTATATTTTCCTCATTAACCTTAATATAACTTTCTCTGGTAAAGATAAATTAGATTCTAATATATAATTCAGATATGTCGTTAAGGTGTCGAGTTTCTAGTGTCATCCACAAACCTGTTGGTTTTTTAGTAAGGTTTTTATATATTATGTACTTGCTATGTACCTTTCTATACTGACCTCTAACAAAAAAGATCAGTGACAGTAAAATTCCACAAAAAAGAAGCTAATCGTATCTAATTTCTCTAAGACGCACTGTCATTTCTTGCACAAAGGATTAATGTACTTATTACGCATATATTGTACTTATTACACGTATATACATCTTTTTCATGTCAATTTGAAAACATATTTGTTGCGATAATTTTAAAGGTTTCATTCTTACTCGCGGTGTTCTTGCCGTGTAACTAGGCGATTGATTTGTCGATAACGTGCGTTAGTTATTTGCTGAAAAGTATTTATAAAATTTACAACAGGAATACGGTAACATAATGGGACTTACCAGTAATACAGGATTGTTGGCGAGTACAACGCCTAAACCTGTAACTGTTAGGCAAAAGGTAGGTATCATGTTCTGTCATTATAAGACTTGAATATTGTTTTATTTTATAAGCTAGCCCTTTGTTGTTGTGACTATTTAGTTGTTTTCTTTCATGTTAAATGATCTTGCGACATGAATAGGGTAGCAACCTGGAACTGAGTTTATTCAGAAGCTGTTTGTTGTTTTTTTTTTTTTCAAAATCTAGCTGTGCTACCTCATGGCGATGCATATCGATACCTTACAACAGAAGTCAAAGTATAGTTGCTATGTACGTATGTAGTGTATGGTAATTACCTATTATGGAACGGTATGTATACTTTCATGCACATAACATACCATACAGAAGAAAATAGTTCCGCAAAAAAGTTATGGCCTACAGGAAATATGTTTGCTAGAAGTTGTCAGTGTTCAGCTGAATGGCAGCGGCATTCTCAAAATTTGGTAACTACCTATTTACTATACTATTAGTAAATAGGTAGAGTTACCAAATTTTATATTTTATATGCAATGATTTTCATTGCTCACTCACTGGAACTTAATATTGTTAAAGTGTCTTAAAGAAGAACATACCTACTTCATAAACCACAGAGCTGAAGTTTGTAAGATTTTTATCGTATTTATATCAACACTATAAATTCATGCTCCATAGTGTATAATATGTGGACCTATTAATGTTGTGAAAGACAACTTAATTACAAACATTTTCAGAGTACCGTGGACTTACGATGCGAAGTAACGCCTGCACCATTTATGCTACGGCCTTACGCGGCGCTGTACAACCCATTTGCACATAACTGCTCGGTGCTGTGCAATCATCCTGCTGATACTGAGGCTAAAGAATATGTTAAACGAGCGAAAGATTGGGTAAGTAGGCCTTGATTTTGATATTTGACGATGGACAAGAGCAACCACCACTTGGAAATCCAACATGAAGATCTGCGTCATATACCTACATCTCTACCTACCCGTAAGTAGGTATATCATCCATAGGAGGGATTCCCAAACTATTTTGGGCAAGAGACCCGTTTTCCAAAATGAACTGATACTGCAGACCCCCATAACTTATTTAAAATCAAATTACTTTAAAATCCTATCTACAGTTTTTTTCCTATCGATTCAACATTTTTACCAATTTAAATAACTTTGCAGTTGGTTAAGTAACTAAACTCGACATCATTATACAGTTATTCAGTATACTTATTTTTTTTTTGATAGTTTCAAATAAGAACTTGTGTCAATTAATAGGGGTTGATTTTACAGTCGACAACCAAAATCAGTTGGGCAATCGATTGTGACTCCAAGGGTTCCATATCGACCACTTTGGGAATCCCTGGTCTATAGTATAATTGTTATGTTTTCTTTACAAAAATTACTGAGATTAATTGTTACCTACTCGTGTTGTATTTGCCGTGTAACTAGGCGATTAATTTGTCGTGTGTGAGATGCGTGAAGTTATGATTATTATTAATACCTCACTAATGGTCATATCGCAGTGACTTAAAATAGTCCTATCTAGGAACTGAATTCATAATACTCAGTGCAACGGAAGTTTCCAAAATTAGTAAACAAACCCCTGCGTTATATATTATTCTTCATTTTCTCTCTGCAAACAGTCGCTGACATATCTATTTTTGTCGGTTACAAACTTTTACATCGATGATCTGGGGAATATTTTTTTCACTACAAAAATTAATTTAGAGACTGACGCCCAGACCCTATATTTATGTCGTGAGAATTACTTGAACTTATCCAAAAATAGAACACAGAGGTTAGTGCATTTCACTATATCTTATATTAAATGTTGTAGTTGCAAGAAGGCAAATCTCGTTTATTTCAAGAGGACCTCTCCAGATTTCAAGATGGAGACAAAGAGAAAATTCGAACACCACATGATATTGTTACCGAAGATATGTTTAGAAGGTAAGAGTCAAGCCGCAAAACCTGTTAATCCAATAGCAATTATTATTATTTTTTATTTTTTTTAAATAAGACACTTTATGTATCAGGTGGTACTGAGGTTACAATTCGTAACAGATCTCAATGCACAAGCAACTTTTTGCAACTTTAAACTATACAGAAGGCACAACTGTGTGTGCTTCGATTAAAATACGAAGAGAGTGTCGACAATAATAACTACATATATAATGAAATTAAAAAAATACTACAAATCATTAACCATTTTAAACGTTACAATCAGGAGAGATAAGTACATATACGAGTGTAATATGTACATATGTAGGTATTACTTACTTGCCTCTATGTTTCTCATTAGATGCTATTCCGTAGCTCTACCTACTTCAAACGCCTCTGTGTCTCTTCTGTTTTCAAATATTTATTTTATATTTTTAATTAAGTATGTCGGATCAAATCATTATGTGAAGCGAAACCACAATCATCTTTTAATTGTGGTTTCGCTTCACATGCAAAGTATAGGTTTCAATCTATACTAATATTATAAAGCTGAAGAGTTTGTTTGTTTGTTTGTTTGTTTGTTTGTTTGTTTGTTTGAACGCGCTAATCTCAGGAACTACTGGTCCGATTTGAAAAATTCTTTCAGTGTTAGATAGCCCATTTATCGAGGAAGGCTATAGGCTATATATCATCACGCTAAGACCAATAGGAGCGGAGCACCAATGAAGAATGTTTCAAAAACGGAGAAAATTTATTACTATTGAGAGACGCAGACGAAGTTGCGCGGGTCAGCTAGTTCGGGATAAACTTTTAGGATCATATTCTGAATAGATATATTTTGATACAGATACACTGAAACAGACTCCAGACCACTCACCCCAGCTCCGACCCTCGCCAGTGGCAAGTCTAGAGGTTCCCGCAGATGTCTCACACCAGACCAACCTCATCATAGAACTGCTATTGTTCTAGATTTGAGGCGAAGTCATAGTCAAGTAAATACAATTCCATCTCGTTATCCGATAAAGCTTATGAATTAAAAAAAGAAAAAGGAGTATCTTTAGAACCAAAAATAAAAAAATAATCTAATCTAAAATTAAGTTTTTTTTTAGAATAAAACTTTTCGTTTTGGAATCTTAAGAATCTTAAAAAACACCTATGAGTAAAACTGCATTTCCTTAGTAAAAAAAAACTTGTATTACAATAATGCTTATATTAATTTCAGGAAACTCTTTACTACCACGGCTATACGACTTCAGACATCACAGGTGGCCCCAATACAAGCCCAACCAACGACCGTTCGACTCTACCCTCATTGAATCTCTCCGACGGCGCTCACAACCGCCTCATCAAAGGCCAGTGCGAACAGCTACCTCCACTGGCGTCACCACTTGTGCTCGCGACAAGGACCCTTCCTGTGAAGGAACCGCTGAGTGTTAGGACTGCGAGAAGGGTTAGTTGTTAAAACCTTGACGACTATTGTGCATGTTAGATGTATGGACTGAACCTTAAAAGCGGGATAGACGAGGTTTCTGTTTTACTTAGGTAACTTATTTTAAATTTTACCAATACCTACAACCTAAAATGGATATAAATTGGATTTGGCTCTGTGATCTCAGAGGATCGTTATACATATCCGGGAAAAATCTACTAGCGTAATGGAGTTGGACCATATTACCCATCAGATGAACTGTTTGCTTCCTAAACAGCAAAAAGAAAAGTTGGTTTGCAATTGAGCCTCGATAATGTTATCTAATGTCCTGTTTAGTAAATGATTAAAATGGTGGTTGGAGACTCCACACACAGGCAACTCTAATTGTTCTTAGGTTAAAAAAAACCAGGTGCAGTAAACGTTTCTTGTCCAGTGACAGTAAAAATTCCTGCCCCGGATTTGCTTGTCGTTTGACAGCCCTTATGGGAATGCGTTATAATCGCACACAGAAACTAATATGTAAAACTATTTTTTTATATAAATATGACTTGTTCTTCTTTCGTATGCGTTTTAATGCCTACTGAAAGCCAGGCCAACATTCTATATATTATTATCATGGATCAGTTTAGATCTAAAATAACAACAGAAAACTTGTTAAGTGTCGTACAGGCTCTTATCAGCTATACTTACTAGACCGTTACTCTAATCATAATTACCGTTGATAAACGCTGATCGATATATACACCTGACGGGGGTTTAGTGTGACACGGGAAATTCCAGAGGTAACTTGTTGGTAAACTTGGGGATTTTTCCAAAATATGTTGCCCTTTTTAGTTTCCAAAACCAAGTTATTACCTCCTAAAAAAGAGAAACCGAAAGATAAAAAACAAAATAACAGTACTATGTTGCTAACCGGGGATCACTTGGCAGGAAAAAAAACCCGCAGTTTGAGACGGAGCACACAAAAGCTTCCACTTATTGTCACTCCAAAGATGTGCGACTGTAACGTACGGCATTTAACTAGAATAGTTATTAGTTACGCACCGAGAAGTAGGAAAAGAGGCGCCTCTAACATAGTATGGTCTGTAACCGCATGGGGCACCGCCGGCCAGAGGAAGCGTATGAAATTACCAAGTGTTAAATTGTCGAGAAAATTGGTCAAAAAAGAGAAAACGCTAAATTATGACAATGACGAGTTCTTTCGGCAACTGGAGGTAATATTGTCATTTTCTCTTTACTAGAAATTACTTCATTTAGTTACATTATCCGAGTCAGAGACTGTAAATATCTGCTCCAATCGAAATCATCTGACTAAAGTGGAATACAGTTAATTAGTACATATTCTTTTAGTAAAAAAACAATAACGAATAATACATTCAGCCGTTGTACCTACCTGAACATGTCATTATAATTTGAAACTCAATGAAATCTACAGGGTCAGCAATGTCAGTACCAGGGATTTTCTTTCTAGGGTACACCTGGTTCCCCGGCTACTGGCAGCATAGATGGCGTGCGGTTTTTACTCGGTTCGAGTCCGACATAGCCACCAGTGGGTGGTATCTGAGGGGATTTCCGCACAAAAAAAAGGGTCAGCAATGTCTAGGCTATTGTTTATGTCTTCAGTAGTTTTATTACTTTTTGACTAAATTTAATAATCTTAGTGAGCATTAGTTCTTGTCATGCATTTGCATTTTTCGATTCCCGGACAGAGCAAAATTTTTGTATTGTTTTTTCGAGAGAAGAAATAGCCTAAATACTTATTACATAGACAGCTACCTGGTAGTAAAATATTACAAAAATCGATCCGGCCGTTTTGAAGATTACCCGGAACAAACAGACAGACAAAACATATTTAAACTAATTTTTAAGGCATAGGTTTCGTGTAAATAACCACGTGAGCATAAAAAACCTATTATTTTGACATTACAACAGACACTTCAATTTTATTTATTTGTATAGATTCAAGAAAATCCTGTCTAAATAGGTTAATCCATTTTTGAGGATAATATGAAAACTGGGTTGCAAAGCAATGTTTGTTATTGCAGCTTCCTGACGAATCGTCACCCTATAAGCCATCTGATAACTACTGCCATTGGGTTTGTATACACATACAGGCAACGAGAGAGATGGATGCCCTTTGTCTCTGTTTAGCTAAGCTGCTACTTATTAACCTATTGGCTACTTATTAACCCCTGATATTCCCCAGCCAACCACCGAGCTCGACTAGAAAGAGATAGAGGGGACTATCTATTATCCATCTCTCTCGTTGCCTATAATACAAGATTGGGGCTCTTGTTCTCTCTACGTTATATCTCTATGGGTGGCAACCTTTGTATGCGTTTTGAAGGGTTTACATTACCGTGAATTCATTGCATATCTCTATTTACTGGTTTTAGAAAGACTATTGGTGATAATATAAGTCATTCATTAATAGAATTCTAAAGCTAAAAATATTGTGTTAAAAGTGGATACACGTTGATAGTGAACTGGGTTGGCATTTAACGTCGAAATCTTCTTTTGTTATTGATTAAACTGTATACTTTCAACAGCTTCTTTTTAAATGTTTTTCTTTTACCTCAGAATCAACTCAAAGCGCTGAACATCAGCAAGACAGTGAAGAAACAAAATAAACTCGAGGTTCCACCATCACAACGATCTAAAACTGAAAAAGAAGCTGAAACAAACGACGATACTCTGAATGTTGATGAAGAAGGTATGTAACTGTCTCATGTACATATATAACACACACACGTACACCTTGACATATCCTATTCTCGTCTAACATTTACCAGGATCTCGATTTACAACTTATCCCTCTTCCACATTTATGTCAGGTACTTACAGGTGCCTTCTAGAAACTATTATTATACAAAAAACTACCCTTTATTGAACAAAGGTATTACTTTGAGTTTTTTTTTTCTCCAAAAACTTTGTTTTTTTTTAAGGATCTACAATTTGATATGGTAACACTGCAGTTATCAGTGTTACGAATTTATATTTTCAAACATTTTTTCTATTTATCAAAAGTCATCATACAACTTATCAACGCCATCTATCACTACGAGGTAATGTCAAAATTGCCCAACGGTTTTTGTGAGAAAACATTGAAATTTTTTAGCAAATTTGTTTAACAAAAATTCTAAAAAGTGGTTTTTTTTTATGCAAATCTAAAACAATGATGTTTTAGTCTAAGCTCACTTGTGAGCAGTATCCGCAATCGACTTATTGAAATGATTTAAATATCTCAAATAAGTGGTATATAATTTACCACTGTTCCCACTTTGATACGAATCAGATTATGTATATAAAAATCGGTTGCTTTTCTGTTTTAGCTGCTTGTAGTTAATATGTAGAAACCTTTCTGAACTACCAGTTTATACTACTTGTAGTACCGCGGGTAGTTCATAATTATTATTTATCGACATGTAAAGCGTGAGTTGGTATATCGATATAAATACACATTTTTTTTTTCATTTCCAAAATGTAAATTTATAAGAGGAGTAAACCATTACGAAGTCACTAGTCAGAAACGAAAAATAAACCGGACCGGACAATGGCCATTTTTTTTCCACGAACATGCATGAAATCCTGAATGGATAATAGTAATTTTTTTACCACCAGAAAAACTACCCACTACCCTTTTTTTTTTATAATTTTGATAAAATAAAAAATTAGCCCAAAATCCAAAGTAACTTTAAAAAAAAAAAGCGTACACCCTCGCGTTTGTATAAGGGTTAATAGCGACTAAGGAAATTAGGTAATACCTACTAAAACGGCTTTTGAAACTGAGTTCAAACAGAGGTCGTAGTGTGATAGTAACTTTCACATCAACTCGCTCTCGACGGCGAGCGCGTTCGGCGTTGCGATTGATGAAGATTTCACTGCGGGCCAATCACAACGCTAGACGCGGTCACCGTGACGATCGAGTTGTAAAATAAACTCACACTAGGCTCTCAGAATGCGAGTAGGTATTTGCTTTTGATCTACCACAGTTCATATTAAAGGAATCGCGAGATGTAAACAGCAAAGGCGAATACTAATTCGCATATCTAAGCAAATTCACTTTTTTTATATTTTGAATTTATATTAATTTATTTAGTTTGTATTTTTAATGATAAATATTAATTAAATTTATTTCATAGTCAATTAAATTAGATTAGAAATCAAATTATATTTATATAATTCAAGAGATTGTTGAAAATTCTATATCGTATAGTCCGCCAATTGACTACCGTGTGCATAGTATATAGTTTCTGTTTCCGTTTTCGAAAATAAAGAAATATTATTAAATTTACATAGCAAATAATTATTAATAATAATATTAGATCGATCAAATTAAATTCCGACTCTAGTCCATTGATCCATGATCCATTGATTAATTGATCGATGTGTCACTATTGCGTCACTATTTTTTTTAACGCGAATGAACTATAATGAAATTCTTTTTTAAAATGATGTTCATTAAACACTTAAATGACGTGCTAGCTGGTGGCGAAGGTCGGCGTCGTGGTAAAAGAAGGCGCAAGGGTCGTGCGGGCGGCAGTGATAGACTTACTTCAGCTGGACTGGCTGCACAATCACAACAAGACCCTGAAACTCAGGTGATCCTTTTCTTCCTACTCCTACATTATAGTGTACACACATGCTTGATTCGAGATCGTCTAAGCTTGATAGAGGGATTTTAGAGGCTTGTTAGTTTTATTTCCTCATGACACATAATAAGGATAAAAATTTATCTCATCCATAATTACATCTTATTAATATTTTATTAAAGAACTTTGATTACCCATGTACGTATACCACTAAAGGTAGATAACATTACCGTGACTAAAGATTAACAATATTACTTTATATTTATTATACATTAGTTTATAATTATAATACGAAAACGCCGAAAACGTGAGCGAAAAGACAGTACACAACTCGTTGTCACAAACAAAGAAAGACCACATAGGTGGCGTAGCTGTCTTGTTTTACACAACGCAGTGTGATTGGTCTTTCTATTATTACCCAAGTATGTTTATCAGTAGTCTGGTTACCATAGTTACCGGCTCTACCTAATTTGGGATCAAACGATTGATTGGCTTCCTATATGGCATGATAGTGCTTTTTTTTCTCCCTGTTATTTTTGCTATGTTCTGCATCCTTTGTATCAACACAACTCAGCACAAGTAACTTAGTGCAGCCCAAGGAATAACCTGTAATTTTTTACATGTTTCGCACTAGATTGCAGGCATTGGAGGGGATTCCCAAAACCCTAGTTCAAGAGGTTCGGTGGCATTAGCAAAAGAAGACGATGACATTGTGTTGCCCGTGATAAAACTCAATGTGCCCAAGAAAACTGACTCATTTCTGGACGATGATATTCTCAAGTACCTGCATAGAGAAGTAGATGAGGAAGCTATTGAAACTGAGTTTGACGTCAAGGTGAGATGACTGCAAACCTTGGGGTCTCTTGCTGCAAAATGGGCGCATTACTTGTATTACTTTTGTAGGGTATGCGTCTTGTTGCTGTGAGGTGTCTCTATAAGGCTATCTATCAATACTATCATCATACAGATCTTGCTTTAATACCTAATTAATTAATTTGTCAAAATCGTTTTGCGAGAATCAAGCGCTGGGGATCTCTTTATCCCTCCTTGTTTTTTAAAAGATTATTCCCTCACTAGGAATATATCGTGTGTCGCGGGGGACTTTACAAACATACATGTAACGGGCACAAAGAACACCCAGACTCAGAACAACAATTTGTTGATCGCACAAAGTGTTGTCCCATGAAGTAGGGAATGAACCCACATCACTAAGCGCATAAGAAAGGTGAAAGTAAGGCGAGATGACCGCTTAAACCAATACGCCATCCGTGCAGTCATTACACGGACAAAGAGATTCCCAGCTTCGAGACCATTTAGTTAGACCTGTTGTTTAATGCTACTCCTCTAGCATAATCCACTTCTTTGCCTACTTTGGTAGTAGCAATGTTTCTTCACTTCATTGTACACTTAGTACAAAATAACAATTATTTTTACAGCGCCGGTACGTTCTCGAAGAAGCGATGCGCACTCGTCCGACGCGTACCTATGGCCAAGAGATGCAAGCGTTACTCCGGGAGCTGAAAGTCCCCGCTGTCAGCCTCGGAGATTGGTTGCACATTCCTAGGGTTTTCTCCAGAAAGAATGCACAATTCTCATTACCAATAGACACAAATTCTCTTGAGAGTAAGTTTGAGAGGTCACAGATCTTTAACTTTTGGTATTTTCTTAATGTAGGTTTTGGAAATTCTTCATTTATAAAAGCGAATTAGTCCCTGAATGTCATCAAAATCCTTAGGTACTTTTTGTAAAATTAAATTTAAAACAATTTTTTCAAAAAGCTTTTCTATTGTTATAGCACTAACTCCGATGAACTACGCTGCAAGATTCGTGACGCTAAAGAAATCTAAGCAACTGCTGTACCTAACCGTGCTAAGAAAGTTTAGAGCGCGAAATTACAGAATGCCTATCAAGGTGACGTTAGAAGTTTTTATCAATAACAGTTTAAAAAAATTATCTACGTACCTACCTTTTGCAAGCGATAAATGAATGTGAAAATCTGAAACCTTTCGTCAATTCATAATCCAAATTGGTATAAACCCTATTTTAAATAGTAAATTGAATGGCTTTAAAGAAACGCGGTACGTTGGTTGTTATCGACCTCAAGTCTTTTTCAGTTAATATTATCCTTCCGCAACGAATCATAGATGAAGCAAAACAATGGAAGCCGCTTGATAAAATATTTGTAAATATTTCTATGAATAATGCTCTATTCAACCCAGTAGTATATTTCTATAAATTTTTAACACGGACTCGTTAATAGCGGACGGCACCTTCAAGGAGTCTTTAAATCAATTTTCAGGATATTGAAGAAGGTCTTATACTCATGATGGGTGGTATCTTGACCAAGGTACAGAGTAACCAATTTAAACTCATAATGAATTGGGAAAGCTACGAGGAGGAAGACAATATTCCTGATGAAATTAAACTTACTTTAATTGATAGTGGGATCAGAAAACCGAGACCAGAAGCGGGAGACACGGAAGAGGTAATTAATTATAAGCGATAAGGTAGGTAGTGATGCTAGTACTTAGTAGGAAATAAATACTAGGCCAAAAGCACCTAATACACATAGCCTAGAATAAATTGTTAAACCCTTAATTTAGTGATTCGTCCTTCTGTTTTGTAATAAATATGTTTGATATTTTAATGGTTCGATCAAATAGTGTTCAAGTCCGTAAAATTTGTTGTTTTTTTCCTTCAAAGTCCGACGAAAACACGATAAAGTATCGAACTTGGTGCGGCCTCTGCGCAATTTGTGAGCGAATGTATGGACGATTTCCTTCCCGGGAAAAGGATCCACCAGATGGGGTAATAAAATCTACACAAATTTTCTATTAACTTAAAGTACCTTTAATTATTAATTCATTGTGAGATAAACGTGATCAACTTCTACTTCTCTATGATTACCACTATTGATGGTGGCTCGCCACTTCTATTATAATGTCATTAATTAAGCTAAGAATTTCCCATACCGTCACTAAAAACGGAAAATGCCTCCTATTTTGTTTATGTTGGTTTGGAATTAAATCAACTAAGAAAAAAAATATTTCCTTTAAAAAGGAGAGAATTTTATTTGTTTTAGAAAAGAAGTCCAAGTATTCAAGGCATTTTACACATTATAGTATAAAAAGTAGTTTTAATAAGCCAGCAAAAAAGTAACGAAATAAAACAACGATCCCAAATAAGGACATCCGATACTGAAGTATGAGATGCTAAGCGTTCCACTTTTGATAACATTTTCAGTTTCATTCATTTTTTTTTCAGATTGAGCTGAGCGACTTCTCTATGATAGAAAGTAAATTAGCTGCACTAAATGTCAACAGTGGGCTGAAAGAAATTCTAACCAATATAAGAGAACGTTGACAATTTTACGATTTTTGAGAGAATTTAGACATGTTAGTACTTTGTTATCTTAGTTTTTGTAATGAAATAAAATTGTCTTGTATATTTTACTGTTTTATTCTGATTATTTTCATGTTATTTTTCACTGTATTGAAACACCATCTAATTAATTATAATAAACACGTACATAAGCTTGCTAATAATTACATCGTTTCGTCTAAAAATAATTCTAAATAAAATCGAAGCTTGCAACACGCCTAAGATACTTTCGAGAAAGTAGCATTTCATTTGTACAACCTAAGTAATTGATAGCCAATTTTGTTGAGGATTTTTTTTTAAATATAAAATGTTTTATTAGCAGAATCAAGTGTAAATAACACCTGAAATGAAATATAAGTTGTTTGTTTATATATGAAAATCAATTTATTTTCTCGCAATATTCAATGGCATCATTTACATTTGAAAATATGGTTTAGTATTTCGTAAATTGACCGGTTGACGTCACGTAAAGGTACCTGCCATGGTGTATATATTTCTATGATTGCTTTAAATTACTTTCCCTACTATTCAATTTTTTTCTTGGCCCCTAAAAGTGCTCCGCATCCGTCATGCCATCCAATATGTACATTATACCTAAACCACATTTACCAATTCGTCATTTGAGAGATTGTCATTGGACACCGCGCAACAATCTCAAATCGAAAGTAAAATAATCGCTAAAGGAAAAGATTTCGTAAGGCGTAATTACATCATCATCATCAACAGCATCTAATAGTCCACTGCTAGATATAGAAAGGATGTTCTGGCCTACTATTTTTGTTTTATTTATAATATTCTTAAGCTTACATTTAGTCTGTTAGGTTATAGGTACAGTGCCACACAAAACAACTTCCGCTTTTTGTCTGTGTGAACTAACTTGATTCTTATTACATCTACATTACATTACATCTAGGTTACATTCTCACATATCTAAAAGGACTACGTTGGCTACTATATGGGTTGGTATAGTTTATTTTCAAGTTTTCTTTCTTTTTGCAGAAATGATATTCTGCAGAGTTTACTCCCTTAGTCGGCCCTTACGATACCCATGGGATGAATAGGGGTGGTGATACTCGGGCACGCCGTCATCGCGGCGGTAAGACCCGTTATGGAGGATTGGCTCGAGAGGCGTCACGGGACCCTCTCATACCGACTGACGCAGGTGATCACTGGGAAAGGATGTTTCGGGGATCACCTGTGTCTGATCCGCAAGAAGCCATCGCCTGAGTGCCACCACTGCCATGGCCAGACCGTGGACACGGCTCTCCACACGCTGGCAGAGTGCCCGGCGTGGGTTGAGCAGAGGCGAGACCTCGTGGCGGCCATCGGAGTGGGAGTTCTCTCGCTCGATAGCCTGATTGCGGCTATCGTGAGTGCGTGGAACTCTGCCGTCTCCTTCTGCGAGCAAGTTATGCTCGTGAAGGAGACGGCGGAGCGGGACCGGGAGAGGTTTAGGACTCTCCCGGTCCGCCAGGCCCGGGAACGGGCCAGGTACCGCAGGCGACTAAGGCGCCGGAGGTCGCAGAACGACCTCCGTCCTCCATAAGCGCAGGCCTGGGGGTGACAGGTGAGGCCATCTGTCACCCTAGCAGAAGCAGGCCGGGGTGGCGGCGAGCGCGTTGCGAAGCGCGCTCGCTTCCAGGGAACATGGGGTTCCCACACGGGGGGGGGGTCGTCTACTCGTCTGTAGATGACCCGAGGTATGTCGGGGCACCAGGGTTCCCCGGCTATTAGTACCCGATACGGCGTGCGGTTTTAGTCGGTTCGAGTCCGACATGCCACCGACAGGTGGTATCCGAGGGGATTTCCGCACGGAAAAAAAAACAAAAAAAAAAAAGGGTTGGTGACACTTCATATAGGTACTTAATCCGTCACCACAGGGAAGTATTTTTACATATTAATAGCTAATTTGTTTATTATTTTTGAATGAAAACACTATGAAATCGCAGGTGTTATACATTGGGCACCAGGGACTTCCTTTCTAGGTTATACCTGGTTCCCCGGCTATTAGTACCCAAGACGGCGTGCGGTTTTAGTCGGTTCGAGTCCGACATGCCACCGATAGGTGGTATCCCAGGGGATTTCCGCATGGAAAAAAAAAAGGTGTTATACATTGATGGTTTACATTGAAGAAAACGCTTTCAACAATATCTGTTTTCATGGAATAGGAACAACGTAAATATTTCTACATCACACTTGCACTTATTGAAAGTAAATGAGCCTTTTACACCAAAAAGCAATAAATGTATTAACATTTATTATTTCTTGGTCTTATTAATATAGCCAGTGCATTTGTATGTAAAATGCACTCACAAACGTAACAATAAAATAGTAAGCCTGTGTAGTTTTAAGATTTATTTTGAATCGAAGTTCCTTATAGGACGATGTAGTGAGAAGGATTTCACGAGAAATCGCGTACGTTACGAAAAAGCGTTAGTCGCTATCTTTTTCTTTGCAATCACTGCCTACAGAGCGAAAGAGAGAGAAAATAATCCGTCTACTTGCGTTGCACAGTTTTATTTATTAACTAGAGAACAACGCATCCTAGATCGAAACATGATGCGTTTGGTTTTTTAGAGAATTTGCTGAGGAATAAAATGAGACTGTCTTGTTTCTCTACAATCAATAGTATTCGAGTTATTCAATTTAAAAAAAACTGCTTTTCTTTAAACAAATAGCTGTACCTAGGTAATACATTAGCAAATTAACTTTTTTGTTTATACAAAAAATAAAACTACGCAATCATACAATTAAATCACGCAATTATTTTAAATACCTTGAACAACATTTATAAATGCAATATTTGTCAAATAGCATAAGGAACTTCATTCCTATCGGGTATCCCACCACTTCACACGGCTTAGTTGGTTATATATATATACAGGTATTAAGATCTTATACGAGTAGTGAAAAGAAATAAAGATAGGTACTATTATTATAAATAATTAACTTTATAAAAGTATCACTGACTTTAATACTTCAATGAATTGTAATAAACTGTTTTCTATATTCCTTAATTTTCCCCCTAAAGAGTGTCATTTTTTATTAAACTTGAATCAGACCGGGAAGTGTGTAAACCCTCCCAAATGTTTTTTTTTTTCCAAATCGGATGTTTAATGACAGAGTTCTGAGTAGTCAGACTTCTACAACCTGATTGAGAATCGCCTTCGTTTTTGAAGTTGGTTAATTAATTAATGTACTGATAATAATCTGCGGATCGTTAGGATGTGGACTGTGCACATGATCCTTGCACGTCCCGAAGCGGTGTGCCTTGACGTGCACTTCTTATTTATTCAGCCTCAACAATTCATCTTGGCTGGAAAAGTTAATTGACAATAGCATTAAATCCTAACGCAGTTCCAAACGTTTTAATTAGAAATATCGTATACTACATTAGTTTTAAGGTCTAGTCCAGTTTCCAAAACTTAGTAGTGTTCATTTATCTAGGTTGTCTCCGCGGCGCGGTCTTTACTTATTATAACTCGCTTTATAAGTATCTACAATTATATCTATGTTTCTGAACATATTTCAGATGACATTTAGAAGACTTTAGTGCGGGAACTGTGACAACGTACAGTACATTTGTATCGATATTTAATCCATGGCAAAGTAAGCTTTTACTTTTGTGGCATATGAGGAAATATTGAGATAAACTATCTTATTCATAACTAATTAAACAGTAAAAAAATTGGATTGAGAGGAGGATATCTCAGGGGTCAGAACTTCAAAACCAGCCAAACAGTTGATTTTAGAGTAGAAAGCTGATTTTGTTCCTCATCTGTGTGATGGTATCTATTCTTAGTACTCAAACAACCATTAGTTAACTATTTCTTGGGCATATTGGAAAAAAAACATTATTTCTTCCAACCGCATATGTTCTTTTTTATTTAAGAGGGGGCAAACGAATAGACGGGTCACCCGATAGAAAGGGACTACCACCACGCATGAATACCTGCAGCTCAGGAGCCACAAGTGCGTTGCCGGCCTTTGAAGAAGAAAAACACTTTTTTCTTGAAGGTCGTATTGGTCTGGAAATGCCGCAGACGAGAACTTGTTCCAAACAAAGGTTGGATGTGTTAAAAGGGTCTTGAAAAGCGCACAGTGTTGGAGTGCTACCTAACCAAGTTGTGGGGGTGAAAATTTTGCCGTGTGGAACGATGGCGGAAAGTTACGGCTGGTATTAGTCCGAACAATAGAGAATGCAGAGTGAAGCTACATCTCTACGTGACTCCAAAGGATCTAGCTGGTCGGAGATTTTTTGGCTATCGACGATTAAACGTATATAGAAACGCGTCTGTAAATCAATAAAAAAAAAAGGAATTCCACTTCAGCGTTTTGATGTTTGTTGTTGGCAGGCTTTCATTTTAAAAATTCAGTAAAACACAGATAGAAATAAATAATGTATGCTAGATATGCATTGCGGTTTTTGTATAAATTATATTTGCTGCATATATTGTTGGCTGAGTAGTTAGGTGTGATAGTTCTAATTTTTGTTTCATTTAATTTTAACAGCCATAAATTTTTATAAAATATATGTTTAACTAGTATTTTTTCTGCTCCCTTTGCTCAGTGACGCGCGATTATAATTCATCTAATCTAAGAGGTACCGTTTGACAGTTCTGACAGATTGAGGTATAGCGATGGGGTCAAAGGAATCGATAGCTACAACTTTACGGCTCTCTGCAACCCTTAATTCCTGCTAGATCCTGGTTCTTCAAACAAAAACATGTTAATAAGTCAGCCACCTCTACTATAATTCGTTTACGATTAGGATTTGTCAGTACCCCAGTTTTTCTTGCCAAAATTCGAGTTCGTGATCACTCTCTATGTGAGTGTGGTCTCGATGAAGGCACTCTGGAACATATTTTCTTTTCTTGTCCTAAATTGGTCGTACCTCTGTATGATCTACTCCCTCAACAAATATCCCGACCCGTTAATTTGGCTTATCTATTAACTCTAGTATATACCCCATTTGTCAGGATCCTTTACCATTTCATTCGTATAAATAAAATAAATTTATAAAGTTTCCTAATACCTTTACTGCTATATTTTTTTCTACTGTCCTTTTTCTTTTTTTTTTCTCTACTGTCCCACAGAACCACAAACAGAAACTATTGAAATCACAACAATTCCCTTTTGGTATTCAAAATATTTTCAACCTATTAACTAATAAATCTACCTCCCACCTAGACATTGGCAAAATCATCGACATCCGATGGAGCCACTGAATTAAAGGAAGAAGAAGAAGATAGCTACAACATCCGAATCTTAAAAGATATCGATTTCATTTCTTAGTATGTACTAATCGATCACAGTTTCACAGATTTATGTATGTTTTACCAGTAAATCTTAGCATTCACTAGACTTGGATACAATCCATTATGCTTACAAAGATTTATTTAAAATTACTTTACTTACATCCTTTTAATGTTCATTATGCGTTTTCGTTTTTAAGTATAATTAAACACTTTAAGACGCCTAGATTGAAAATATTCCGTAAAACTAAATTCGATTTTTCATACATTTTAACGATTAATCAAGTAATCAATAATCAGTATTCAAGTGAATTTGAAGAGCCGCAACACTACGATAAAGGACCTAACTAGAATATAGTCTATATATAACTATAGCACTTTACTATTATAATACAGTACTCCAACTTCATACAAACGGACGAAACGCGAGCTATACCTACGCGCCTCGATCTCGGGGTGCGCTCGGGGCGCAGACAGTCACGGCTGTACCGCAGTGTCGAACGGACGGTGTGTTGTTTTTTTAACAATAACCGCGCGATTTTTTCTCTAAAAATCAGTTAATATGACGAGTAGGAAATATTGTGCTGTTTTTGGTTGTATGAATTCGTCAATAACGCATCCAGACATAAGTTTTTTTAAATGACCTGGAAACTCTGAAAGGCAAGACTATAAAATAATTTTACTTACTCGTAGGTAGGTACATAATGTGTGTCTTTTGAATGGATAAGTATTTCCTTTTATCTCACGAAAAAAAAGGTGTTTAGATTAATAAATAAAGCGAATAGAGTATCGGAAAGTTATTGAGACGAGTGAAATAGGTAGTGTATCACAATCTATAGGGAGTGAATCAAAAAACAACACGCATTTTTATTGAACACTTCCTATTCAATATACAAAGTATTACATTTATTTATATAAAAAGGATATTTACCATCACAAATCTAAATAGAAACAGAAAGTAGGCAAATATAATTAAAATGCTGGAGACGGGCAGCCCTAACGCATGTTTACGTACCGCGCGGCTGTAGGCATTTATTTCTATCATGCGGCCGAGTTACAGTACTGTATTATAATTGTACCGTGACTATAGGTCACTTTGAAACGAAGTTTGAACAATGACATCTATTGTGTATAAATTAGTTATTTTGTTTTGTTTTAAAGAATTTAATTTTAATCAGTAGGAATTGTGTGCCCTGCGATAAAATAAAAATTTCTTCATATTTCCACGGTTTTACAGAAACAGTTATTGTAATTGTGTGAGTTACGCCTATACAAAGTTGTTTCGTCTTGAAAAGTGTGAAACGTCAAACCTTTTAGTTCAGTTATTTGTAATATCGATATCGATAAAATTTAAAGCACGGACATACGTCACTTTAAACGTTAAACGGTTTTTATTGGAAACTATTTTTGTACACCGCTCTAGTGTAACGAATTTATTTAGTTATTAAAAAAACAAACAAAAGTGACCGTCAACACACCCGCGTGTTTAATTTCACGTGCGACGTGAAATTATTAATATAATTTTAGTTTAAGCGCGTATATATATTTAAACATGAACATGAGTTTAGATAGATCAGGACTAAGTGCTGACGGTAAGAACGAATTTATAATTAAAACTTTGCGGTGGTGTCCGCCGATTACTTGAATATTTACTAATTATAGTCCTTTTCTAGAGTATTATGCGACGGCACTACAAATTTTTGACTATTGTGGCGCGGAGAGTACAGGCACCTTGCGTGTCGATACTTTGATGGACAAATTCGCACCTTTCGTGAAAACTAACAAGTAAGATTCTTATTTTGATCGCAAAAATGCATGTATTAATGTTGTTTAATGTTTACTCAATAATAGACATTCCGTTTGATCCTTAAAATTAGGTTGTTGTGTTTAAAAATAACTTGTGTGAGTTTAACATGCATTTAAAGCAATCTATTGAACATTGAAATACAATCGGTCTAAATATAGACATCTCATTGTGGATATAGGAATGGTATATTTTTACCTACAATGTCCTTTTAAAGGTTTGTATTTACTTTGGCATTATGGTTTAGAATGTTTTTTGTTGGATTCAGGAATAGTATTCTGTAGAGTGTCAACACCCCTATTCATCCTTGGGGTGTCGTAAGACCGATAAGGGACCGACTAAGGGAGAAAACTAAGCAGAACAACAGCACTGCAGAGAGAAGGAAAACTTGACACAAACCCTATACTATACATAGTAGGTATAGTGTAGTGGTATAGTAGGCCAAAACCTTCTCTCTAAGGAGAGGCCTATGTCCAGCAGTGGACTATTAAGGCTGTTGATGTTACGATTCTGTAGAAGTTCTATTACAACAAAATATTGATAAAACTGTTCAAAAGAATTTACACCCCTATAATCTTATTTACTACATATCCTAGTTATATATGCTAAACCCCTAATGTACCTTTTAGTTTGGGTTATGTATTTAGTATGGATTCTTTGCCTTAACATTGTTTTGTACATTGCTCGCTACTTCTCTAACCCATGCTTGATCTCTAAATGGGTCAATGAACAATTAACATCGGTAAAGATATAATTCTTCCATACTACACACATGAAACACAACTGGTTAAAGGTCATTGCCCTTTATAGAATCAACAATTTCCTTAAAACTTTAGTTGAGTATAGGAAATTATGTTTTGAACTGATGTTTTTAAGTGTAATGTTTAGAATGCTATTTAAGCAAATCAGTGACTATTAATTCATACTAATTTTAAAAAGTCTAATTTAAGACCTTTTGGTAAAAGAGTCCAAAGGGGCAGCTACTGTTGCTTTTATTAATTGCATATTCCTATCTTTTCTTCTTTTAAAAGAAGTTATTGCTTATTTTCTACAAAATCCTTGCCTTATACTAGAACAATACCATTAAAGGCATTTGATTATTGAATCAAATGCCTTCAAAGGTACTGTGCTAATTGCAGTGCTTAAAATACAGCAAAAATAGTTTTACTGCATTTAAAACACTGCAATTAATCATAAAAACTTTTTTGTATTTCATATAGTACGAGCCCTGATGCAAAATAGTTCGTCTAGTATGGAAAGTAGTGAAAAGTGTAAAATATAGAAAGTAAATATTGGTAAAATAATTGAGAATGTTTAATAAAAAGTAAACCACAATTTGAGGAACATTTTAAAGTTTATTTTAACATAACTGAAATTCTTTCATGACTTGACATAACATAAAAAATTTAAAAAAATATTAAAAAAAAAATAACGCAAAAGTATTCGTCTACCCTTGTCACTCACGCAAAATAATTCGTCTACCACTTAGTTTTGTCGCCTTTGCTCTCAATGACAGCTTTAATGAGAAGAGCAACGCTGCACACTCCTCAGGCGTAATTCTCTCCCAGACAGCCAAGAGTTAAGCCTTTAAGTCGCTCTTCGATCTTGATTGATTTTTACGGATAACTTTTTTAATTCGATTGTAGGGATGCTTTTCGCAAGTAGTCTTCGTTGTCCTTGCAGTATGGCAGGAATCACCATCCTGTTGAAAAATGAAAGAATCTTGATGCTTAAATGACGGAATAGAGGGCAATAAATTCTCTTCCAAAAGGTTTTGATAACTTACAGCATTGATAGAACCATCCACAAACTGCATACCACCAACACCTTGTGTAGACATGCAGCCCCATATCATAAGAGACGCCGGAAACTTCACTTTGCGTTTGAGACAATCAGTATGAAATGCCTCATTTTTGTTCCGAATCACTTTTTTCCTTTCATCGCCCACTGTCACTTTAAATTTGGACTCGTCACTCCAAATGATACTACGCCACTGGTCGAAAGTCCAATTTAAATGATCACGAGCAAACTTCAACCTCTTTTTCTTTTGTACAGCAGTCAACAGTGGTTTCTCCTTAGCAGTGTAAAATCCGTAACCCATTCTTTTTAGGACTCTTTTGCAAGTATCAACTGAGACGTCTTTGTGAATCATGTCCTTCCATTGCACCGTGAGTTCTCCAGCTCGAGCACGACGATTATTTTTGATAATTTTCTTTAGGATTCTGTTTTCTACTGCACTTGTGATGCGTTGTCAACCAGTTTTCTTCAAACAGGAAGTCATACTATTCTATTCTTCTAATCAATCTTTTTATAGTGCTGAATGATAGATTGGACTGTAGACCTGGGAAGTATCAAGTCTTTAGATATTTTGTAACTTGATTTGCCAGCATCGACCCCACAAACTATTCGCTTTCGAAGCTCTTCACACACGGGTTTGCCACGACCCATTGTTATTTGAAAACTAATGAAAAAGACTGAAATTTTCAGAATTTATACTGTCTCACTTGACAAATGACACAGAATTGCTTTTACAAATTTAAATTATGCAACATAATTGTACAAAGAAGGAATAATCTTATTGAACTCACCAATAGACGAACTCTTTTGCATCAATTAACAATTAGACGAACTATTTTGCTTATAACTTCTTCGAATTTAAAAAAAATAGTTTATTGGTTCACAAATAGAAAATGGCATAAGTAACGCGACATATGATAGTAGAGCTTAATATTTTATGTAGATATACAAAAATAATGAAGTTAGAAAAAATCTCACAGAGAAAATTTCACACTAGACAAACTATTTTGCATCAGGGCTCGTATATGTATAATAAAAGTCTGCAAGTAATCAATTGTAGACGAGGTACTATGCAGAATATCTTTATCTTAATGCTTTTTTTTCAATATTATAGTGTTAAGAAGCAGATAAATAAAAAAATAATTAATTAAAACGGTACTGCCCGAATAGCTAACAAAAAACTGTTATAAAATGTTATTAAAATATTGCTTGCAATGAAAGTACGTCATGTACAAATTGAGTTGTCCAAAGCCAGTCAGACTAAGGCAGTTCTAATACTAGTTACCTATTATATGTAGATGATATGGGGAAGAACAGAAAATAACTCCATGGACAGTCAACATTTTTTTTAAAGTTAGTTGCTTAAAACGATATCTAATATTTTGTCATAACAGTGAACTACGTTACTTACGTTACTGAGAAACAGATAGTTAAAATAATTTCTTTATTATGTGTTTGCTGGTTACAGGGCTGAATACAGCTACTTGAAATCTTTATTGGACCCAGCTGAGGACAATCCTGAAATATCTGTGACCATGTTGGCTAAGACCCTACACAAGTACAGTGAGGACCAGAAGTCTAAAGTAGATCTGGATGAAAGGTGAGCTACCAATAAAATCAAATTATAAACTTCCTAAGTTCTTGAAGTATATCTATATAAATAAGTATATCTTGTAATATTTGTATTTGAATTAACACGATTACATGTTGCATTACTGTTTACAATGCAAATGTATGATAATTACATAATTGCCCATACATACATATATATTATCATAGTTAGTAAAAATCTCTAGGTTTTGCAAAGAATACACAGAGCTCCGGACCAAAATTCTCTTAGCCTATGGTTGATAATATGGTGGTGGGCCATAGGCAACCATAACTGTGTATCAACAAGCAGACCAGACAAATATTTATCAGCGAAAATATTGTTATAGTGTAATAGAAATAAACTTGTAGTACCTGCCTCTAGGCTTCAAATGATAAACAAGTCGTTTCGAGGTCAATGTGTCCGATTTTATAATAATATCCCGAATAATATTCAAGACTTAAGTTTGTTTGCTCTTTCTTCTCATAAGGCTCAACCCCTTGGAAACAAGCGGTTGTAGATCGGCACAGGCATATCATAGATTTTGTATAGGGTTTTTCAATAAGGGCGGGTAGATGTTGAATTGATATAAAACAAGCTGTGTGTGAGGTATTAATAAAATTCTTTTTTTATTTATAAGGGCCATATGTGCCCTTAACTGTGGAATATGACATCGTTCATATGCCCGCCTCGGCTTCTTACGGTGGCACTAATTCGAGTGTTCCAATTTTCAATGATTCTTCCGCATAGATCTGGCTCAATTTGAGAATGGCCTGTGTTATGTTCACCTTTAGGGCATCAGTCGATTGTGATTTATTTGCGCAGACCTGCGACTTCAAGAAAGCCCACAAGAAAAAGTCTATCGCATGACCTTGGTGGCCAATATACATCACCCCTGCAAGAGATAACCTTATCCTCACATCGTTTATGCAGAAAGTCAATCGTGGCAGCCGTTGTGTGGCACGTAGCAACGTCTTGCTGGAACCACATGTCGTCTAGGTCCATATGGTTTAATTTGGGCCATAAGAAATTGATTATCATTATTCTGTAGCGCTCGCCAGTGGCGATGCCCGCCTCACCAAAGTCGTTTTCGAAAAGTACGGACTCACCAAACGGTGACTATTTGAGTATGCATTATCATCTGGTGAACCTTTCGTAGGTTGGTGTCGTCCCATAAACGGCAATTTTACTTGTTAACACAGCGATTCATTCATAAATGCGCCTCGTCGCTAAAGATGATTTTTCGGTCAAAATTGGGGTCCTCTTCCAAACGATTAAAGGCCAATCAGCTTACAAAGGGCGTTGTCTATAGTCTTGAACTTAGAGTTTCTGGATCAGATGGATCTTGTATGGGTATAGGCCTAAGTTGATGAAGTTTGTGAAAGACCGAGTTCTTGTGCATGGCGAGGAATCTACTGCCTCGGGTTCTACTGTACACTTTCATGGACCGCGACGATGTTCCTTGTGTTCCTAGAACGTATGGGTGGCTGATTGATTACCGAACCGGTCGTCACAAATTTGGCCACCAAACGTTGAAGAGTTGTCAGTGAAGGGCCACCATATCTACCGTAAAATGGGCGCAACGTTTGCCCTAACAATCAAATCAAAATGAGTGATTTTGATATTACATTTTTATCATTTGAATGTGTTGTTCAATCGTGTAACTTGGCGATTTGGCATAAGTAACCGTTTTTGGTGACATCTGTCAAATCTTTTGTTTATTACAAAAGATTTGACAGATGTCACCAAAAAAATTGCTGCCACGGACAGCCAAAATCTACCCGCACAAATTGAAAAACCTATATAAGTATAATTTTTATTAAATTTGTGTTCCTAACTATTTGAAAAAAACAGAGATTGTTGCTATTGTGTGTGTCGATCTACGATTTAGAGTCTACATAAAAGACAATTTCAAACAATTTAATTTTTTATTAAATAAAGATATTTTGAATTTAAATCTATTTTTCTTTTAATGCCACACATTTATTCTCTCTTATGACCAACTGACATACTTCTCCAGTGCAGCATATTATCAGTAGGTATGTGATATATTGTTTGTATTGTTAAGAAGGCTATATTTACTATGCAACTTTTTGCCATTGTATTAATAACATATATTTTATCCTGATAGGAGGAGAAAATTGGAGTAATTTTAATAACATATCTACTAAAAATGTAACATGTAAAAATAGTTAAGGACATTAAATGTAAATCTAATGTAACCATTTTATTATTTTGTTGCAGTTTTAATTTGCTAAAAAGTGGACAGGCTCCACAGGATTCAGACTCTGGCATATCAACTGACGGTAAGAAAAAAAAGAGTTATAATAATATTCTGAATCTAGCATCCACTTTAATTTTTTGTTACTTTTCTTCCACACGCTCTTACTGAGTGATAGATAAAAATAAGTAATGAACTTAAACTCCAAGATTTAGGTGAGTTTTAACTTTGACAGACTGCTCTGAAGCTTATGTTTGTCTTGTGAAAAACTATGTAATTGAATGTTATACATACATAATGAACAAAAAATCCTGACCCATTAAAATAACAACATGATTTGATAGTCTCATGGCCATCAAAGGCAAACTTATCGGCGAGCAGTCGCAGATGAGGCCAGGAACATCGTTAAGACGTGAAGCGAAATAAAGCACGTGGATTGAAACCTATAGAAATGGACGTCCTCTGCTCCATCCAGGAGACATAGGACATTGGGGGTCGTCTACCTGTTGTTGTAGATGGCCCGAGGTATGTCGGGGCACCAGGGACTTCCTTTCTAGGGTATACCTGGTTTACCCGAGACGGCGTGCGGTTTTAGTCGGTTCGAGTCCGACATGCCACCGATAGGTGGTGTCCGAGGGGATTTCCGCAAGGAAAAAAAAAGGGGGACATAGGACATTAAAGAGAAAGAGATGTCTTGAATGTATGGGTCATTATAGTCTAACCAGTAGTCCAGCAAAATTAAATTAATGAGTATGGTGATTGACGAATAACTTGACTATATTTAATAGAAAACACTTCAATTACAGTAGAGTCTTGTGAATTAGTTGAGCAATGTATTTCTATATCTTCTTGTTTTAGGCTTCCAGCTGCTGGAAGAGTTACAATGTGAGTTACGAGAGAAGTCGCACCTGGCCCATCAGCTGCGCTCTCAACTGGACTTCACAGACCGACAGCATGAAGAGGCCCTTGCAGCATTGACTGCTGATCGTGATGCTTTACGAACACACCTTAACATGTAAGAAAACTATTATTATTAAAGAACAGTGTAATATAAATTTTATTCTTGAGACTACAGTATTAAGTTGTTGATTGGTAGGCTCTGACCACTGAAATCAGACAATTTTACATAATAAAGAAAAGGAAAACTAGGATGGACTGGTTGCAGAAGGTGGAAACAGGGTAGGTACTATGGCGTACATTGCAAGAGTGAGTCCAGCAGTGCACATAGACTTATGTAGATATTTTGTCAATCAATTTTTGTATTCCTTTCATATTCATATTATTGTTTTTACAATCACAACTAAATGTAATGGTTATTATATATATCCACATATTAGACAATTTTTATTCACTATACGCACGTTATTACTAGTAACTTAGGTAACATATTTAATATATTAAAAAAATATAATAACGAAATTTATTTAAAAAAGCTTTACACTTATAGTTTAAGTAATGTTAACAATTAAAAATATAATTCGTTTATAATCCTCACCTGCCATCTGACTATGAACGCAGCGAACTCGCATCACAAGATACGTTGTTTATCTACTATTGTTTAAGTACCCACCTGTATTAGGTAGTTTTTATGGTCAAAGTTAATGGTCCATGTAAGTGACATTTGTCTTTTGAGAAATAAAGATTTTTCTTTTGCGCTTACGCTTCCATTTCGTACAAAACGATAATTTCTTGGCGTCTGATTAGTCAGGGGGCATATCTTGATCCATGCGTCACTATTTTCTTAACACGAATTGGCAGTATTCTTCTTAAACCATTTTACTAAGCTAAGTACTAGTATTGGAAGTGGGTTTTTGACTGTAAGGAACTGGATTTGTATCCTCCACCAGTTAATCGCAAGTCTTGGCTTTTACAGTAATCCCGCCAAATACAAATATTATTTTATTAACTCTTTTTAGATTTCTGATGTGTTAATGTGTTCTCAGACTACGTGAAGAGAACTCGAATCTAAATCATATACGTCACGACTATGAAGAAGTCTGCGAGCGACTGTGCAGCAATGACCGAGCTTTAGACGAATCGAGGAGGGAAATCGAAGCTTTTAGACGGAAGAACAAAATTATGACGGAACAAGTGTCGTTACTAGAGAACGAGGTGGGTACTTAAGTTCGGAAGAACCCATGAGCAATTAATTCCGCCCGTTACAATTTTTTTATTAGTGGTTGAGGACGCACGGAGGTTAAGGGTGGCAATAAACGGCGTTTACTACTACGCCGATTATTGTGGGTTCGATCCCCACCCGGCCTGGCCCGTTCCCGGGACTGGCGAGCCGGGAGAGTTCTAAACTAGTTATAAAATAGTTTTAAAAATAAAAAACAAATATCTTTAAAATCAAATAATTTTGCAGTAGTACTCTCAAAAGGTTTAACTAATACTGTTTAATGCCTTTAGATAATGTATTATTTATTTATATGTCAAAATTTTTTTTCATTAATGAAAGTGATTGATTTATTTCAGAAACTAACCCTTCAAGAATTACTCGCAAAGTCAAAAGCGGAATGCCACCGTATTAACGAGATGTACGCCGCGCGACAGTCGGCTCTACTAGAACAGAACGAAGCCCTGAGGACCGAGCATGCGGACCTGTCTGCACGACTGCAAGACCAAGAGGAGTTTGTGCAGCAGATGATTAAGGAAAAGGTACTTGTACTATTAACTCATTTTATTAAATCTAAACTTAAAAGTATTAGGAGTTATGATCAGGTCTTGTTGATAGTATATTAAGTGGGCTTAGAACTTGTATTTTTATAATATACCCCGACCCCTAAGGCTACTTGCCTTCGATCCTTGTACAACTTAAATGTAAGGCAACCTTTTCTTAATATTTGATATTAAAATAGAGGTACTTGTTATCTTTCTATAATATAGCGAACTAATAGGTTCGCTATATTATAGAGAATCCCATCTGACTTGGGAAAGTCATGGGAATTTTTGCTTAATCCGTTTCTTTTCCACAGTATGACGATAATATCGCTAAGGCAAGTTTTAATAATTTATTGTTACTGCTTGTTCAGGTATTATTAGAGATGGAGTTAAAAGACCTGTTGAATAAGTCTAACCAGACGCAGCTGCGCATGGACCGCAGCATTGACATCAGCTACACAGATGAACAGATGCTGACAGCACTAGACAGCCTCAACGTTGACTCCCGCTTCTCGCAAGGTAACATTTTATTCATTTTATTATTATTACATTTCATTTTATTGTTAATAACTTGGTTTAAAGACACCAGGTAATTAAAAGTAAAATGTATGTGTGGAGTGGTGACGGATTAAGAATACGGAGTGTCACCACCCCTATTCATCCCGTGAGTGTCATAAGAGCCGACAAAGGGAGCAAACTACGCAGGACCGCAGCACAGCAAAGAGAAGGAAAACTTGGCATAAATCATATGCCAACCCGTCTGGCCAGCGTGGTATAGTAGGCCAAAACCTAATTTCTAAGGAGAGGCCTATGTCCAGCAGTGGACTATTAAAGGCTGTTGATGTGATGTGATGTATGAAAAATCTTATATTATTTTAATTTTTCACAATTTGATTTTAAATAACGCTACAGCCAGGGATTATTCATAAAAAAGCATATTACATTTTTTAAGAAAGTCTTGCGCTGAGGTATTTGTGAATTATAGAATCTCTTTTTATATAAATAATACAAATATTTTATGCTAATGGTTTTGCTGTCTTAACTTCATGTGCTAAGCATATATATCGGCTTATATTTTGCTAGTATTTGACGCTTGCGGTCAATATTACATAAAATCTGAACGGATGGCGTAGTGGTTTAAGTGGTCGCTACGCCGCTCACTACTACGCTAAGTGTTGTGGGTCCGATTGCCACATGGGACGACACTTTGTATGATCCACAAATTTTCTTTGTGTCCGTTTCATGTATGTTTGTAAAGTCCCCTGACACCGAATATATTCCTAATTCGGGAGTTGTCTTTTAAAAACAGAGAGTGAAAAGAGAATCATTTACACATTCCTTACTTTGATCCCACTGCAAACCCGTCTTCTTTTTCGACTTATAATAACTGCGCAACTCACAATAAATAGTGTTTTCTACACATCTGCGTTTCTGGCAATAGGTATATACGCGATTTCGAAATTATATGCACCTAGTTGTATTGGTTGTGAGCATTTGATTATATCTAATAAAACTAGGCTACCAAACCTTTAACTTTACAATGAAATTCTCCACCATAAATTCACATAGGTATGTGGTATTTTACCATTTGTCAGATGTCCTAACGTACGACAACTGTACAATCTAAACAATAATAAGGCAGCATTCTCATCTAGTTTGCGATCCTTTGCGTCCTAGGAAATGACTAAATCATAGGTTTGCCCTGCGATCGGAAAATAATGGTCAATTGCATTTGCAGGCAAATTCATTGAGTTCATGGAAAGGTCCCTATAGTACAATGTGAACGAGAAATTGCATATTCACTCTCAAACTAAATTCAACTGTAAAAGAAAGGTCTCAGTCTGGCTCAAGTCCCCTAACTATGAGGCAACTAAAAATCTCTTATTTGTACCCTCATAAATATTATATTTACTTTTTGCATCCTTATAAATATATGTAAATAAACTTAACTTCTTTTTTACATTAACCTCGTTAATAGAATATCCTAGCTTGCCAACAAATCTCTGATCCCAAGATGATCGTACCGCATTGTCGTAGGGTTAGCACACACAAACACACACACTGGATGGATGGAATAATTGTAATTATTCTGTGTGAGAGAGAAAAAATCGATTATTATTATTATTTGTAATAAATTTTTGTACTAAATTATTCCTATAGACAATCGGATCCTAGATGAAGAGTCCTTTATAAACGCTTTAAAAGAAGACCACGGCCGTACCACGAATATGTCTCTTTTCGATGAGATTAGACTCAGTTTTTCGAATATGTCCAGATTCAACGCTACAGGAAATAACAGCATAGTGGGCGACAAGCATTTAGATTCATTCGCTTGCGATACTTCCTTCATAGCTGTTGGAACACAAACTGATATTGAAGTTTTTGACGACCACAATCGTTCTAGTTTAAGCATTGACACACAAACTGATATAGAATCTTATTTCAACGGAGATAATGTCCAAAATGTAAATACAGTACCTTTCATAGCTATTGGAACCCAAACCGACAACAGTGCAAATAATGCGTGTTTAAACACAGCTGAAACACAGACAGATTGGATTGACACATCAGACAACAATAATAATCACGCGAAATGTCATGAATGTGAAAAAGCAAATGTTTATACGACTAAGTTAGAAAAAGATGTCGTTATGTCAAATCATGCTGTTGCCGAAATGCAATTAGAGTTGAATAAGTATGAAAATAAATTAAATGTTCTTGAGAAATTCATCGAAGAACGCAACGAGAGAAATTCTTTTTTGCAAGATATAATAAAGAGTTTAGAAACAAAGATTGATATACTACAAAATGCATGTATTAAGCAGAAAGAAAGGCTGGACAGCTTGACGCAGGACGAATACGTTGTAAAAAATAAATGCGGTACGCTTTGCTTATTTGTATTGTGCGGTTTTAGACTAAAATTAGAAAATTAGTTGTTAGTATAATTTGCAGGAATAATAGTATTTGTAGTAAATAGCCCAAGACAGGACTAAATCACCATCTTACTTTCTTTCTTACATTTAGCATTGCACAAGATGTTTGGCTGGTTTCTTTTATCCTTGTCTTTGACAGGTTTCTTTTATGGCTGGCTTTGACTAGTTTTGGCTAGTTTATTTTATAAGGCACAGGCAGGAGCCTGATGCCAACCCTCTTTAGCAATGCAATCGTGTTGAGACAAGACAACACAAAACAATGGAAGAAGGAAGGTAGGGATAAAGTAAGAGATATACCGCAAGACTCGAATGGGTAACAGGACTAACACTCCAGTAGTTCGAAGAGCCCAGGATCGCATATCTTTACGTTCGTCCTGTGATTGGAGACACGAATTGCGCGTTATGGTATTTATGTATATAGGTTTTTATTGATTTTGTTCAGGTTTGTGTGTTTAGTCTGAGTGGTGGCGGTCTTAGGTTATTATTATTAGTTAGAAATTTTAGTTGTAGCAATATACATGTATACTAATTGGAGTTTATTAATTGTAAATGAATTTGAACCTTATTGTTGTCTATATGAAAGTTTCTTATACGTAATACCTAAACTGAGCTATTTGCGTATGGAATTTATAAACATAATTTTTGTCCACTTATTCTAGCTAGAATTGTACTAATGGTATTATCTAGGTGGAACTTTTATTTAGACGGCTGATGATCTAATGTTCTAAATATCCCTTCCACCTATATATCCTTCCCACGTTTATAGTTAGATTTTCTCATGTTTTATTTATTAATGGCAGGGTAACTTTTCAAAATTATCTTCACTGTTTTGAAAATGCAAGGTCATTTATATAGTCACCTTGCAAAAGCTTTTAAACCTTTTTTTAGTGTTTGTACATATACGTACTCTGGCACTCCATAAATACCTATATCCAGCAGTGGACTGCGATAGGCTGATGACGACGACGAATAGTAATTTAAAACATATTCCATCCTGATTATCTTCAAAATTTTGTTTTTTAAAAATATATCTAGGTAAATAGAAAAATGTACATAAAAACTAACTCCGATTAGTTGAAATCGAAGGTACCTGTGGGAATATATCAGTAGGTACATACGGGACAGGTGCAAAAATATAATGATGTAGTAAGTAGACTTAAACTTTCTGTTTTATAGTGACTAGACATAGAACGAAATCACAGTGAACTGTGAGTTATCATTCGATTTTTGCATACTTAGGTTAGGGTTGCTACGTAGGTAGGTTAGACGCTATTTAACAGTAAATCTAGTATTTTTTAAATTATTATGTAGGGAATCGTAGCAATATATATAATAAAAAATTACTAGATTTACTGTTAAATAGGCGAATTAATGTCTTTATGCATCGTCTAAAAACAGCTTATTGGCAACAACGCGTGAGTAAGTAGTAACCCTAACTTACTTACGAAAAATCGAATGAGAAATCACCGGTCTTCTACAGTTCACTGTGATTTTGTTCCATGCCTAATAGTGACTGTTTTATATTTCAGACTTAAGCTCAGTGTCTACACAAGCGGACATTCCTTGCCTGGACTGTGAGAAACGAACCGTCGGACGACATCGACACTTGAGAAGATTCTTTTGGTGAGTAAGAAATATCAAATATTATTAAACTTTATTTATAAGTTATATTACATTTATATGTTGTGTTATATTGTAATATCCTAAGTTTTTGAAATAATTTTGGTTCGAAAGCAAATAGGTTTCGGTACTAAAGTGTAATGTTGTTCATTTACATAATAATGATCAAATCGGCGTCATTTCTTTTATTTATTTTTAAATCATAGAATATGTTTTATTTTATTTTTTCTTTTTCTATATAATAAACAAACCATAGTAAACGCATATTTGTAATTAATTAGTAGTATTAGAAATATAATATGACTAGATGATAGTTGATTGAATATGATTGCTCAAGAAATTTTTGGCTGCTGCCAAAATTTCGGCTTATTTTGATGGAAGCTAAAGGATTGACCGAAGACGGTATTTAATTTTTTTAAGAACGATGATTCATTGATTGATTTATGACATATTTTAATTACTTATACACCTACCGTACCTATTTTTTAAATCTAGTTTATATAACTCTATGCCAGTCTGTGATACAATATTGCATCACAGTCTGGGGTGGAGCAGCCAAAACGCACTCTATTAAATTGGAGAGGGCACAGAGAGCTGTGCTAAGGAGAATGACCAGGAAGCCCTACAGATACCCTACTGTGAGCATATATATATATGCAAACTGCGAGGGCCTCAGTTCGACAGCACTTCATGTTAAAAGCTGTCCTCATAAAGCAATAAGATCCACAGATCAGAACCTCGTTCACGAGTAGACAAACACGCAGTATAAGTGTTGAATTATATAACACATTAGATAAGAATGAAGTTAAGGTGAAAGTTACTAATTGGCTTTAGCTACTAGATTACCAAACAACTGAAGACCTTCTAATATACCTAATATGTCCCACATGTCCCAATTTACCCACACACGTGTATATACACACACACATACACCCACCCACACACACAACCACCTACACACACACCCACCCACCCACACACCCACCCACCAACACACACACACACACACACACACACACACACACACACACACACACACACACACACACACACACACACACACACACACACACACACCCAGACACATAGTGCAGTACAGAAACATATATGTCACCTTTCAGTTCATTCAAAATGAGGGAGTCTAAACTAGTATGATTACGATTAGTAAAGGTTTTGCAGAAAGAAACAACAACCACCACCACCACCACCACCCACTGACACCTTATTTATTTAAAACTTAATGCCCATGTTGTACAAAGGCGGCCTTAATGCCATGGAGCAATTTCTCCCAGTCAACCTTCAGGCTTCCACGAATAGCCCACTAGCAGGTACACGGTTATCCATTATTTACGCCACTGCCTCTACTCCTTATCCAAATCAAAAATCAAATCAATGTTTATTTGCTATGAATGTAGGTACATCAAATGACAGATGGAATAGCTTTCATAGATCCGTGTACATTCTGCCTTATCATTAAGCATGCAAAAATCTATAAAATTAGGGTCGATACAAATCAAATTAAATCTGGAACGGATAAGTACAAAGAAAAAAAAACTAACAATTAATATTTTAGATGTCAATGGTCCGGTTCACAAACAAATTATCAATATAGTGTATGTCAATGCTTCAGAATTAAACTTACATTAAATTACATTAAAAAATCATTGATTGTGTAGTAGCATTTGTCCATAAGCAAGGCTTTTAATTTATTTTTGAAATTTCCCATTACATATTTTTTTAAGTCATCAGGCAATTTGTTATATATAATAGGACCCATGCAGATAACACTATTCCTTAGTAACGCCGTGTTATAGGAACCGACACGTAGAAGGTTTCTGTATTGGTTTCTTACAGGTCCTTTTCTAGTGTCTGCCACAGGAGTTACAAGGTGTTTATTGGTTTTTACAAATATGCCTATTTCTTTCTAATATATATAAGGATGGAGGTTAGTATTCTAAAGGACTTAAACATTGGTTTACAGCTACAGTTTTTTTGGGCTTTAAATACCTGCTCTCTTGAACTACAATTGCCCCAGACTATAATTCCAAATCTTAAAACTGATGCAACCAGACCGTGGTAGGCTAGTACAGTAGTCTGAATGTCAACTATTTTGGACAATTTCAAAAGGACATATGCGGATGTATTTAGTCGCTTACAGACGTCCTCTGCTTGAGGTTGCCAATTTAGTTGGCTGTCGATATATATGCCTAAAAATTTAGCAGTAGGTATTTGATGGATGTTTTGGTTATTGTATTTTACAGTAATATTTTTCAAAGATGTGCCTTGGTGAAAGTGGATTAAGTTAGTTTTTTGTAAGTTAATTATTAAATTATTTTTGTCAAGCCAATCAATTATGTCTTTAAGAGTATCTTTTATATCCCTTTCATACCCATCCAAATTTTTACATTTTACTATTGCAGTGCTATCATCTGCAAATAAGACCATAGGGATCTCGACATGTCTTGGTAAATCGTTGATGTAAATCAGAAAGAGAAGCGGTCCAAGAACACTGCCCTGAGGTACACCAAATTGTATAATTCTGCTTTCTGATAGGTATTTTCTTTCCTTCCATTTAGCTCGATCCTGCCCCGCTCCCCGTTCGTCCCCCCTGACCGGCGTCTCTCATTTCCACAGTGTGTGATTGCAGGAGCCCACTGAAGTGTCTGTTCCAAATGTTCGCGGTGATGTGCTTCGTGTGCGCCTGTGCGGTGCTGTACGGCGTGTCGCGTCGCGCGCGGCCGGCGTGCCCGCGCGACGCCGTGCCGTGGCGCTGGCTGCACGCGCAGGACCTCGTGGACCTGCTGCTCAGGATCGACTACGTCGCCGACGTGCCCATGTGAGCGCACCGCCTGACCTGTTCCGCTCATTATCGATCGAGAAGCAGCTATCTAATTTAGAGGAAGAATCATCCTCGTTTGACTCTTCTGTACCATACGCCCCGAGTGACCTTATATTAATACGTACTAAATATATAATGAAACCTGAACAAATCTGTTTCATATTTTTGACAAGTTTTTTAAGCTTTGTATATTTTATAATATAACACACGGTTAGTCTATAAATGATTGACAAATATGTTCTAGGATATTGTTGTTTCTTAGATGTATTATGTGTTTATAAAATTAATAGATTTGCCGTTGGATGTGTCCGTTAAAATTAATGTTTTAAATAGAAGTACCACGTCAGACACACACTTTGCTACAAAAACTATGTGTATATAACATGTACAAAATGTTATGGCAAGTTGATCCGAGCTTTCAGAAAACACATCTTACGCATGCATGTAACTTACTTTTGTAATCCGTGTATATTACACGAGTAACAAAATACATATATTGAGAACTTGAGAAGAAAGAATTACTCGACTAAGGATGATTCTTAACTTTTAATATTTTGTGTGATTAGCTCGTAAATCCTTAATTAAAAGTATTATTAAGAGTAAGTACATTTACTCGACTTAACCTTATATTTTTTTTTATCCTTATAACCAAACGATTTTAAAAAAAACGATAAACTATTGGGACTAAAATCTAAATCTCAATCGTTGTAATCTTAGAATTTTAAACTAATTCTTTTATTTACCAAAAACTAATTATTGCATTTATTTTATTTTTAAATAACTTTATTATAACATATAATGTAAAATACCAGCGTTGATAGTATTTTACAATTAAATTAATTCACATATACGTAATCTAACTTTATTTACACATTGTAAATAAGTTTATGATTATTTTTAATTACTTTTTTGCTACGCATGATACTAATTTCTTGAAAAATATAAATGCGTTTACGCTTCCATTTAAGTTCTTTTCGCAAGGATTTTTTTTGCTCCTCAATAGCTTTTTACAGCTTGGAGGAATCCAAGCTGTAAAAAGCTTCGAGTAACCATAAATATGTGATTAACACAGTTTTTTATCGTATTTTATGATATTCCTCTTTCTATCCTTATAAGATATTTGAATATACACAATATGGTAGATGACTGTCAAGTCAAAACAATAGACGCGGTACAATTTTGTATAAATACTATGTCGTGACGTCATACCTAGCTATTGTCAAATCATTTATATTTAATGTTGATTTGAATATATCAAATTAATAAAACATTAAATTGAGAATGAAGGACACTTCAGGTTGTACTTTAAGATGTTACATTTAATATTGCAGGCGACAAAATTTAGTTTAAACCTATGAATCTACCCAATTTACGTTTTGAAACATAATTTTGTAATATGACACCTATAATGCCGATTTTAACAACTCGTTCAAAGACCTCTATTATAGGTCTTATTGCAAGCATCGAGGACTAGCTATGTTTTTTAATGAGTAATTAAAATAATTGTACTTCTTTTTCTCATCAACACAAAACAAAAGCATTCTTAAAACATAAGGAATTGTCCTTTGTCAAACCACATAGCCAAGTAACACAAACTGTTCCTAAAATTCGTTTTTGATTAAAATCGAGCGTAGAACAAACCGTTTCTGTGATATAACAGTGCCAGTGAAGTAGGTCTTAGATAAATGTTACATATATAGAATTTTATAAAATTTTAACACTATGTTGTTTGTGCCGCCATATTGCCAAAAGAAATTTGTATTGCAGTTCAAAGTCTCTCTATAACCCTATACTTCATTTGAAGTGTTTAAATTAAGTAAATAAATACTGTTATTAAAGTATATAGTTCGTTATCTATGGTGTATTGTAGCAATAATTAACTTTAATGTGGTTATGTTAAAGTTATTGAACAAAATTATTTCATTCTGCAGACGTTCTCGTATTTAATTTCTAACGAAGAGTAGTCTTGAAATAATGTTTGGTTATTGTGTTAGAATAAAATACCGACTGTAGATAATTTTCCTCTCACTATAACCGTGACAATATGGCGGCACCTTAACCTAATTGTCTAAGTTTTAAGAAATGACATTTTAAATGAATGTATAAATAATATTTACCAAAAAATTTAAGTCGTAATAATTATTTCTAATTTCTAGTTATTAAATTGTTAATATTTTATTGATAAAATGTGTGTATTTGACTTAAATATTCGTTGTGTTACCCGACTTAAAATAGACAATTTTAAAACGATTCCGCAAAGCTTTACCAATTTAGTTTTTTTAATGTGACCTATTTTTAATTTTACATGAAAAAAAAAAACATGACACAGCAAACAGTATTAAATAAAATTTATTTTAAAAGTATCTTCATAAGCATGATTAATTGGTTTCTTTGTATTCTGTCATTATTGCAACAATTTTTTTTCTTTTTTGTGTGTATCTTTGTTAATTTATAGTTAGTTATTTGTTAATTTGATATAACCCTACCGATGGCTGTATGCGCGGTAAAACTCCATTGAGTTTATGTTAAACCCATAAAATATTTTTAAAGCAACAGAACCTCAGCTTCTCACTGGTTTCAAGTCATTAATGAACTGATTCATTCAACAATCAATTTTTTATTAACCATCGGTCCCATTCTGTACTTCCATCCCATTCCAAAACTGAAGAAAAAAAATACCAATTCTAAGGGTGGAAAGTTAGGAATGAAGAAAAAGGTTAGCATTAAAGTCGGTTTTAATAATTTCTGATCAGAACATTTTAGAAATCTCACGAGTTCCACATTTTATCAATAAAATGTTTATCGTAAATATATTTCATACATGTATGTCAAATAATATGTTAGGCTAAAGTGTCTATAGACAAACTTCTTAACTGAGTCCTCGCATTCTTCTTTTCTTCGAGCGCTCGCCGCCCGCACCCCTCACTGTCCCCGTTCTCGTCCTACCTCCGCGCCCCCGTACCCCTCAGGCGAGGACGCAATTAAGCGGTTTATATCTATATATTTTGTGTGATTGAACTAACGTTGCATTTAATTGCATTTATTTTATTATATATGTTTTAGTACTAGCGTGAATAGTGACTTCTAATAAATAACCTCACAAGCAATTGACGTCCATCCATCAGATTATTGAGTAGAGTTTTTAAATATTTTTTTCAAGTTATAATTTGTCTTAGAATGTCTTAATATTTTGTTTCTTTCTAGTTACATTCATAAATATTCTATTATGGAAAGATTTTACTTGATAATTATAATGAATATTTTGTTTGCTGCACGGTAATACCTGTAAATATTATGTGTTATTATTTTCTTTTTTGTTTCAATGTATCCATTTATTCGATCATTCATAAATAAAACTTCCATCTTTAGTATGTGTTTTAATTATTTTCACATTTGACGACGTAAGTGGCGCGGTGGTAATTCATTTTATTGCATTGTAAAATGTAGCGTGTGTTTCAAATCCACTCAATACATACACATGAATGTGTATATTTGTATGGATTTCATTGACAAACCATAATCTAGAACCAATAGTAGCTATGTTCTAGTAGTTCGGGTCTAGATGGTGTTCTTTGTGCGGATTAGTAAATGTAAAAATAAAATTCCACGATATATTCGTTTATCATATAAAAAAATATTTATAAAAATAATGGAACTTTATTATTATTACTAATCCCTTAATTTTTTACTTCACCGTAAGTGTGCGTTACCCAAGTAAAATAATGTCGAAAATAGTAATTTAAATGTTTTAGATAATTAATTAGTTGCCCACCTTCTGTAATTGTTGCGCACATTAAATTTAGTTTAGTAGCACTTATAGTTTTTTTTAGTTATTTTACAAAATTATTTTCGGCTGGGGTATACTGCAGCCAGACATTTTCTTTTTTAATTGGAATAAATATTAGCTATGTAATTAGTAGTCTAGAAACTCGGTCGGATCGATGAAACCTAGGTCTCTAATAGTATCTAATACTAGACCGAGGTTCCATCGACCTGACCGGGTTTTGTGGAATCTTCATTACCTATTATTTTTCTTGGGAAAGTCTTTTGACGTAGGTCGCGTTAGGAACCTGCAGACGGCAGACTAGTATATGTTAGGCCCCCTGCAATAGGGATAAAAACGTATTTATGTGACGTTTGACCTTTCACTAGGTAACAAGGTATTTTATTATATTATATATATAATTTTTTTATATAATTTTATTTATTTGACCAATATAAATATTACAGTGTAGGACATTTCAGTTTAACATAGATCTTAGACAATAATTAGACTAAGTTACACTAGCGTAAATCTATAGTAGTGTTATTTTATGATTAGATTTCATAAAGATCTTACGATTTTGTTTAAAAACTTTAGTCGCTGCCTGCCTGAACTAGGGTAAACCTGTGTTTCAGGCGATCGCTTGACATGGAATTTTTAAGGTAGAAATTTAAGATAAACATAACAGATCACTAGCAAATATAAAAAATACTACAAAGTGTACACGTACGAAAGCAAATAATAGAAAATAATATTATACAAAACTATTTAAGACTCATTTAACAATTGTCAATACATTTTCTGTGTCTGCATAGTTAAATTTACCTAAATATTCTGATAACATGTTCACACATTTTTTATTATTGAGGCTGTATATATTTAGTATTCTATTAATTTTATTGTATAAAAAAGGTCCTAAAAATAAATAAAATCTATGAACAAATGTGTGACTAGCTTGAGGCCTGCTACACACTATGTCCTTCCTTCTCTTATTTGATGGTATGGGGTTATAGGGAAGTTCGGTATGCTGTTTTAGAATGCTGTGCAATATAAATAACTGTCGGACTGTTAGTACATTACATGCAATGTAAAGCTCGTGTGTGGGAAATATAAATGGGCGGAATGTCGCCACCTTAAGAATGGCTCTTTGAGCGCGCTCTAAAGGCAGTAATATTGACTTTGCTGCACCACCCCATGAAGTAATGCAATAAGTAAGCATTGATTGACACAACGATAAA